ATGTCTCCTATAATTGTAGGAAGGAAATATGGATTGGACTTTGTTGAAAGGGAGAGGTAACATAAGATGTCCCTTTTGTTGATTTAGATGGTCCAAAAAGTATTGCCCCACAATGAAAAACATTTTGCAAGTATTACGAAAGAGAGCAACAGAGACAAAAGGGTCAGATGTAGAGGAAAAAATGAAGGGTGGAGAGGAGAGGAGAGGTAAAGGACCACCAAAATGGTCGGTTGATGTCAGCTTCCTATCTTTTGTAAAAGAGAGATTATAATTGGCAAATGGTGTAACATATCATATGGCTTCATCTATTCAGCTTATGTCGTCGTCAGCTGGTCCAGGATGAGACTTTGGAAGTGGCATATAAAACCTAAATAAGCCAATGACCGGATAGAGTGGGCATATCAAATTTTCACATGCAAAGTAGTGGTAACCAAATAACGGGCTGAGAAGTAAAGTTGGCTTTTAATCTTCTACAAAGATTGTGAACGCTTGGCCTCAGCTATGGACCCTGGTCCCTGCTATAGATAAGAACATGGCCCATGTGATAACGCATGAATTCAGGCAATTAATTGACTTGTGTGCGCGCTAATTCTAAAGCGGAAAGCCAACATCAATGACAAGATGCACACCAAAATTCTGCCACTTCTACGGCGTTTTCCCGGTTACTATCAGCTCCACTGCGAACCAGTGGCATGGCTTTGTATACGCAATCAACGAATCGGTTTCCAAAGGGTGTACTTCCAAAATCCACACATGGTGGTCCAGTTTCTTTTTAAATGAGTTGGTAGTTGGATACTGAGAGCACGGAAATAGACTCTGGATTATAGTTTTAAACCGCGGACACTTAAAAAAACAATTTGTAATCATTATCGTAAATCGTGACTTATTATAATATTAAAATAACGGTAATGACATGCTCTAAAACCGTTACATAACGATCGTTATATAACGTAATGGTGGTTACTTAAAATTATGCTCTCGATTTTGATTTCAACAAAAAATGCAACTGAGGTGGTGAATTGTGAAAGCAAAACATAAACAAGAGCATAGTACAGAAGCTAAAGGACGACCTTGAAATCTTGCAGGGACCGGGAGCACCAGCACCTCCACGGCAAGTTCATTATCATGTTCCAAAACAGCCAACCTGAGGAAAGATTTGCGTCCCAAGATAACAGCCTTGTGTTTGAGAAGTGAAGTTCAGCCGAGGCAAGTGCCTAGTCAGTTGGTCCAGTGAGGACCATGCAACTGCACCACACATTGCCTGCGGACACAATCATTGTGGCTAACAACAGTTTAAGAGACACTAGCATAATTAATTAGACTAGACCAAAAGATATCTCGACTGCCATAACGTACAAATCAACTAGGTGGCGCATACTAAAGCTTGAGAAAACAAGAATATGGGAATTTGACTAAATGTCAAATACCAAAGGATCTGGATTTCAAGTTTATTTGGCAAACTGATCGTGATGTCCCAAAGGATCCACCTTTCAAACAAGCCACATGGAGTTCCGAAAGTGGCTGCATTGCAGAAACTTTGCAACGATAACATGCATCTAATAATCAATGTGTTCTAATTTGCTAAATGATTCTTCCGAACCAATCTGTTTTAGAGAATAAAAGTGAAAGCAATTCAAAAGTACTGTTGAGTGGACAACATTATTAGGAGCACAAATAAAATGCAACTCTAAACACACAAGGGCCTAAAACAAATGCAACTCAGATTAAGGTAGGTCGGACATCTAGAATTTGAGAGATTACTTGGCTTGTGCTAGTTATGCAGTTTATAACCAAATTCAGGTCATTAAGAACGGTATAACACGGAAATATGAGCACAAGTCATCCAAGACCTATCTCCTAACGCAGTCCTGGATGAAAAAATCAAGACAAGGCTCATTTTGTAACCATGCTCAGGATGGTTGGTATCAGGACCAGGTGAGGTTGGAACAATAGGCATGCCAAAGGTCATATATGCACATAACTACATACACAAGCAAGTACCAAGGTCATCACCGCAAGTGCTGCCCTTAGTGGAAGAGTTGAGACCAAAACTCTTATGTGTGGAAGGGTCCATACTGAACCCAATTTAGCTAGAGTAATAGTCAGGCAGGTAAGGTTAAACTGAGTTGAGCTTAAACACAAATAAGATCAAAGTTCAGCATCAAAACAGACCCTGTAGGAAATGTATAAAGTTGGAGCACAAAACAAACAGATGGCATATCCCCAGAGTACTGGTTACTTTGTCTCGAAGGTAGATTGGGAACTTAAAAAAACAATTCATCAAAAGGCACATAACAGAGGGTCAATTCCCTCTTCTTAAGAGTCCTAGAAACACTTGCCATGGCTGATGTTTTAAGGCAATGGCCAGTCAAAGTCACCACATATGATATGAATATACATAGGAAAAAAATAAGAGAGAAAAATAATTAAAATACCAATGTTTTGCTCCTGGAAATCCAGAGGTCAGAAGTTAGAACACAATGGCGCTGAGCAGTTTAGTTGTTTGTATTAAAGCGGGGCAGTGAGGCTGGGAGTTTTGCCACAAGACTGCCTATAATGTGACACCACTAAATCCAACACAAACCAAGATTGTTAAATTTCCATCCTCAGGAAATTAATGTAAACATCACCTGGCTCAGTAATTACACTTTAAACAAACCAAATGAAAAATTAAACATCCTTCAATATGACAGTCATGCATGGCATATTGTGCGACTTTAAGCTCAAGTAAAAGATGATGTATCATTGAGGTAAACTACACTGTGTTTTTAGACTAAAAAATTGACTTTCATAAGGTCTCAGCAAAATCACAAGCTAATTCCTGATTAAAGTTAAAGAATGCTACTGGTGCTGCCCAAACATAAGATGTGCAGGGTATATAATCACCACTCATCTGAAGGACCACATCTCCAGAAACCAAATACAATGGCTAGTTATTTTTTCAATATTGGATCCCTATGATAAAAATCAATGTGAGCTATACAAAAAGAAGCCTAGAATACACCTAGATTCCTTGTGTATCCAATCGAGCCACAACCATACAGACATGCACCATACATTACCCATCACAGTTTCCTAATTCGCTCACCACCTCACCCCCTCTCTCCATGGTATTATGATCTGGATCGCAATGGTGCATTCGTGAAAATTGACAACCCCTTTTTCGTTGTACTCTACATAGGTTTACTGGTATTTGTGACTAAATATAGCAGTAAACGTGTAAGCCTTTATAAGAAAGGAAATATTCAAATCTGAAGATATATGTTATTATTTGGAGTCTAAAAGGTTGCATATTTAGGTTGGACTTTTCAATTTGTTCCCTTTTAAAAAAATTAAGAAGGAAAGAAGATAATTATGCATAGCTGTGTGCCTGGAGAAGCTCAAGAGGTTTTTGGGGAAGAGATAATTTGCAAGCTGTCTTCCAGAGCCAGGAACAGAAAATATCTTTTTTAGACATACATAACTTATATCTTTTGATTGAACTAGAAATAACACATGGCATGATTACCTTAATAAAACCAATCTAATAGTCAATAACTAAAAAATTATTAATAAATTTGCAACTGCCATGCAACGTTCAACATAGAAGAATATTAATGGAAAACACACACACACACACACGAACCACATAAAAACAAACCATGACTTTTAACTAGTGACCCTACTACGCCTACCCCTATTACTACATTCTGGGAGGGGCAGCGAATCACGTGCATGTACCCCATACCATAGCATTCCACGTTCCAGGTAACTTTGGCCCATCCATAGTTGCTCACAAATAAAGCTTTGATTTCAGAAAGCAGATTTGCCATATCCTAGCAAACTCCAATGCACCTCTTTTTCAAGGTTTTAACTGCAATCCATATCCTTGATAGTTTTGGACAAATTTGTCACACTATTATCTACAAATCATTTACCAGCAGTGGCAACACTGCCAAGCATACACAGGAGCCCCCACCAAAAATTTGCCAAGATCGCTGCATCCCAAGAAACCACACAAAGGTACTTATGAATCTTTACCACTCATTTAGAGGACAACATAATGTCATGATTAGTCACTCATTTTCAAGTATCACTATGCATACACATATTTTCCCACTCATTTCCAACTCCTAATATCAGCAGGTTTGGAACTCTCTACCAGTTATTTGTTAATAACACATAATCATATTCTGTACATTCCCCAACACGGTTCAGGGAAGAACAGTTTATGAAACTAAGTTCAGCTATTCGATGTAGCAGCAAGCAATACTCGGATGAACTTTTGGAAGGCAGAAACATGCATCAATGATGGGCAACTTTTAGTAACATACTTTCTAATATAAGAAATTTCCTGTCTCAACAGCAATAAAAGTTCATTAATCCTTTTCCTATATCATGAATTCATGGATTTTCTTCTATTTCTAATGTGTAAATTAGACTCAGTGAGGAACGTTGATTATATGTGGCTATCATGGCCCAGTTAAGGGAAACTATTACACTATCGTGTTGCTTCTAATCTAAGGTTTTGTTTTTCTTCAACAAACCTCCATCACCCAAGTATCTTTTCCTACCGACTTGATCCTACGGGAGCACCACCATTGTTACAACTACAAAAACTTGTTTGCTCTATTTCCTCCACATTGATCATTAAGGAACAACACATTAACGCAATTCCCCTAGTATACTTCCCCATACATCTTCAACATTACTACTAACTTTTGAATGCATACACTCCTACGATAACATCACCAATGTACCCTACTTATCCACTCTATTTCCGCTACAAAACACAATGTTTCAAAAAGAGAAACCACAGACTACCACATCTACAATTCCACAATCATCAGAAAACAAGACTTTTAAAACTACAGAAAAATAATCATAAAAAATAGAGCAAAATATAAACTCAATTTAAATCACTATCCATTAGTACAACTTGTGAAATCACTAAATTTAAATCACTACTTGACTAACGAAATTAACCTCAATTTTCTTAAAAAACTGACCTCCCTTTAAAATCAAGCATCACTGTCATCACTATTATCATCCTCATTCGCAAGGTTATCATTAGCAATATAAACTCCAGGATGAACCACTTTTCTTCGCGTCCTCGACGGCAAAATATTATCCAAATCAACTTCAGCCAATGGATCATCCTCCTCTGCCTCCTCACTATCATCACCACCCTCCAATTCACTCCCATCACCACTCGAACCATCATCATCACTATCATCTTCATCTTCTTCAATCAGAATCCCTTTCCCTTTCCTATCCACCACCACTTCCTCTCCATTCTCTTCTTCGTCCTCATAATCACCATCTTCTTCTTCTTCTTCTTCATCTTCGGTGCCATTTTGGTTATCCATAGAAGGTTCTAGAGTTTGCGCGTTATCAGTGTTTTTCTCTTGAATGATTGGTGGATTGTTTGTGGGAGATTCGAGTTTTTGCGATTTGTTGGAGTGATTGTCTTGTTCCTGATTGTTTTCTGGAATCGGATCGTCATCAGGCTTGCGTTTTGTGGGTAATGTGTGTTCGTTTTCGGTTTCGGTTTCTGCCATTGATTTCTTTCGTTTGGGGTTTATCGGAGAAAATACAGATTTTTAGGGTTTTTGGAGAAGAGAGTGTTGCAGCGAGCTAGAGCGCGCATGAGAGAGAGGAGGGTTTATTTATTAATTTTCTATTTGTAAATTTCAATTTATGACCCTGAGGTTTAGTGTTTGTGTCAATTACACACCTATCGTTTTAGTTTTATCAATTAAATACCTATTATAGTTTCAATTTCTTGATTAATTCTAGTAAGATTACCAGAGGTTTGGTCTTTTACAGTTTATTTTTCTTCTAATAAGTTGTTCTTTTTTTTTTTAATCAACTTTATATTCAGATTCTAGATAAAAATTTTGTACCATAAATTATAAAACAAAAGCATCATCAATGGAAATCTTGTTCGGATCCAAACTATATCAAATCTTTTTTTTTTCTATTTTTCTTATAAAATCAGTTTTATTTAAAACCAAACAAAACCAATAACATCTTTTTGTAATAAGAACACCAATCCATAAAATATCTAGCTAGTCCAACAGCATGGAGACCAAAATAACCACTGGCTTTAAAAGTGAATTTTGATATACCTTTATTTGCTAAATTTTTTATATTTGTACTTTACTTTTTTTTTTTTTTCACTGTTGTTGTCCCAAAATCTTTTACACTAATGATCAATTCATTCTGAATCAGAATTCATGGTAGATGCATGTTTCAATTTAGTGTCGGATATATTTTCCTTATGTGATTCATATTTTTATTAATTTTCAATTAAAGTTTCCTTATAATTTTGTCTCCAAAGTTGGTTTAATTGGTAAGTGAATCCAGATGGAACAAATAGGCTAAGTTAATTCATTTTAATATTTTCTTGTCAAAAAAACCTTTGTATTTTAATAGATTTTCCTACCTAAAATATTGCTATTGCTTTTTCCATATTCCAATTGTTTTTTTTTTAAAATAACAAATACATCCAAAGCTTTCAGCAGAATTAATTTGCTAGGATTTAAACTCGTAACTTCTCATTATAAGAAACCACTATCATTAAACTACGAATTCTTTGATAGATTTCAATTGTTGTTAAGTCCATATTCCATTGGATTGCATGATAATAACTTCTCCAAATACATATCATACTAGCTATTATAATCTCTAAAGAGAGGTAAGAGAGAAAATATGTTATTTGGTGAGGGGCACATAAATATTAAAAATAAAATTTTAAAAAGTTAAAGGACCAAATTAGAAACGTTTACAACTTTAGGGTGTCATGCTCCCCTTTCCCCAAAGCATACCTTATTCGCCCCGGGTGCTCCAAGTAGAATTGAGAACTGACGGGGTCATGAAGTTGTTCGCTGATCAGACCGACGAGAGGAAGTCATAAAGATGTTGTTACATACGTAACCATTTTGGGACACAATATGTTATGGTTATTTAGTTTTATATAATAACTTTGATCGTATTTTATTACTATAATAAACTGTAAATTGTAATAGCTTATTATTATAATAAACTGTAAATTGTAATAGCGATTGCGATGGTTTTCTTAACTGTATTATCCACAAGTCTTTGTAGAATTCCATTACTTGGGTACAAGCACAGCTACTTGGGATTGCAATTCAAGCTCAAACTGGGAAATTGACTCAATAATGGCAGACATTGTGATGCAATTTTCCAGTTCTACAACGAAGAACTTGAGACAAATTGCAACTTAATTCCACGGATGAATATGAATGTGAAACCTTTGTTTAAGAATTGAATCACAATACAAGTTACAGTGCAAAATCGCATGAAAACAGAAGAGAAGAAGAAGAATTCAAAAAGAATTCCAAAAAGAAAATTACAGAGAGTAAAAAAATTCAACATATGACCAGATGTGCAAACGAGGCAGCCAATTGGGTTTCAAAATCATTTCTTTGTTAGGTTTCTTAATATACACGCAAAGAAATTTAAAATTCTACAGATAGTCAATTGGGAAATTAATTATAGAAGTAGGTGATTGATATTCAGACTTTTCCAAATTGAATTGAATAAAATGTGAAGCAGATTAGACCAAGCTGTTAGCAGCAAATATCGAATGGAAGCAGGTAGCCACTCCGCCCAGAAGTTAAAGAAAGACCTAGCAACCAATACATGGATGACATTTACAAGAATGCTTGGATCAGTTCAAGTAATTCCATTAATTACTGTGACTTAACAGACATCCAAGAGCGATTTAGGGCATCTCTTTGTGCATGGATAATCATCTTCTCTAGTACCTTGGCATTCTTGAGCAGAAACTGCACCGATTGCTCAGCTACAAGCTTCAAACTTGAACAAACTTGCGTCAAATCCAACACTCTTAACGCTCTTGAGATGCAGCACCCAAACATGTGAAAATCCTCTAATCATATGAACTCCAGCATTCCTCTCCATCAAAATTGTAATCTTTTTCTTTAAATAAAAGAGAAGGGAAAGAGAGAAATCGGGAGAGAGAGCGAGGAAAAAATAAATAAAAGGGGTTTTCATCTATTTTTTTTTTTTAAATGGAATTAGGAGGTGTTTGTGAGGTGGGCTAAGCCCAACCCCTATGTGGTTGGACTGGGCTAATTTCAGCCCAGTCCAGCCCAAAAACTAAATAATTTGAGCTGGATTGGACAGTCTAGTCCAAACATAAAAAAATGGACTGGACTGATTCCAGTCGAGTCCAACCCAAAAAAAGTGGTAGCTAATAAATTAAAAAACATATATCTTAGTTTAAATCTTAAATTTATTTTATGCATGTTTGATGTTTCTTATTTGACGTATTTTGAATTGTCTTTAATCATTTTAATTAATGTAATTTAGTCTTGATTTTATGCATATTTTTCTTATTAATTTAGATTTTTCATTATTTTATTTAATTAATGTAACTTTAATTTATTTGTTTAATAATTAGACTCGGTAAATAATAGGTGGAGGATTGTCGAGTCTCTTAATTTTTAGGAACCGATGATGATTCTCCATCGATAAAAAAAACAACAAAATTAAAATTAGTTAATTTTAGAATTTTGTTTAATAATTAGGATAGTAGTTAATAGGTGGAGGATTGTCAAATCTCTTAATTTTTAAGAAATGATAACAACTCTCCATCGATAAAAAAAATTAGTTAATTTTAATTTTAGAAATTTGTTTCAATAATTAGCTTAATAGTTAATGGGTGGAAAAATTATCGAGTCTCCTAATTCTTAGGGACTAATGATGACTTTCCATCGAAATGTTAATAATTTAATTAATAGTTAATATGTTGATGAATTGTCGACTCTCCTAATTCTTAGGGATTGATAACGGTTCCCCATCGACAAAATTAATTAAGATTCCCGATGAAGTCTCCTATTTGATAGGGACTATGTTAACAAAAAATAAGAAAAAAATAAAAATATCTCATCAATATTTAAATAATTAGGATGTCCTCCGATACACCCGTTGTGTTAAGGCTTGAAGTGGATCCGATGTTTAAATCGGTTTGTCGTCCAAAGAAAAGGACCGACGATCGTTTTAATACGAAGCGATGTCCTAAAAAAAATAATTTAACTTGAAAATTGAAATTTAATTTAGAAATAATTTGGCATATAATAAAAGGCTTTAGGAAATAAATTTAAAACTAAACTGGCGTGGTTCCTTTATTAGGAAATGATGTTTTTGGTGATCGTTATCTTCTTAAAACGTAACCAATTTTTTTTCGAGAATCTCTACACTAGTACTTATTTTTAGGTTTGTAATTCTTTTAATACTAAGTGGTAACTCCAAATTTAATATTAACTCGCATTCTAAAAAATCACCACTAATATGATGCAAATATCTAAAACTTAGATTTTTTGAATTATTTTTAAGAGTCTCATCCAAAGTCGGATAGTGATAACATTAAAACAAGTAGTCCATTGAAGTGCTCAAATAAAACTCACAAATTCAAATCTCATTTTCAGTCTAATTGCATTCAACACATGCATTTCAATTTTTCTTCTTTTTTATAAAAGTTTAAATACATTCAGTATTTGGAAAAGCTATGATTTCAACCGTAATTCTTACTGTTATATATATATATATACTCTTAAATTGCTTTCATGTTCAAAACACCGACATATTACAATCAAAGTTATAGCATTCAAAGAACATCAAATCATAATAGTTTTAAATATTTAATATCTGTAAAAATATTATAATTGATAAATAAACTACCACTTTATATTAAATAATTATCAGAATTCATGAAGTTAACTTTAATTATCATATATCGACCCCAATGTTGAGTACGTATTATTACAAACATTATTTTTTTCTACGAGCGTTTATTAATAAGCGATGATTTTGCCTCGGCTGATTGTCCTAAATTATTTACCTCCTGTGTGCATCTTTGCATGGTGAGCACGTGGCTGCTTTCTCAGCTCTAGAATCCAAAATTTTGCTGGTTAGAATCAAGACAGCGAAAAAGAAGAAGCAAAAGCAAAAGAAATACCATATATCCCACTGGATTTTTTTGTTTTTGTTTGCTCTAGTTAACACCCATCTAGTATGGATTTTCATTATTTATTTTCAGTATTATTAGGTATTTATTAGAGGCAGTATAGCAATTTTTTATTTTTATTTTTCGAGTCAGAAAAGAGAATAAAATCCCAAAAATCTTTTTTTTTTTTTTTTAAGGGAATGGAGATATTGATCTGAAATTAAGAAGGAGATACGAATGCTAATTACTTATTCGTAATCTCATTACACTCACACCGTGGTTTCTGGTACGAGAAAAACACTCAAGACACACGCTAACTACAAAAATCCTAGAATTGGCGCGCAATGAAGCCAAGACACATATGCAATAGTTAACTTCTGTTTCCCTCTTTGAAATTCAAAAATAAAAATAAAAAAGGAACACTCTTCTCTTCGAGAGAAAGAGAGAGAGAAGAGAGAGTCTTGTATTTTTGTACATAGAAAGACGGAGTCCAATAAATCCCAAAACCACCATTGATTTCTCAACACGGTAATCAGAGCTTTTGCAACACCTGTTTCCACTTCACCCTCCATTCGTCAAGCTTCTCTTGGCCGCTCCCTAACCACCACCACCACCACCCCCTCTTTATCGCATTTTTATTCTTTTCCACCCTCCATACTCCACTACTGTCTCTTTTCTCAATTCTAACCCTAACTAGCTGGCTACTAACCAAAGTATTCTAACTCTAGTTAGTTATATTACATCAACAAGAGTACAAGACCATTTTGTTTATGGACAATGTAACTCTAAAAGATCCATAAAACCCGACCATGAATCCTCGTTGCACATTTGTCACCATAACCACCACAATGTACAGACTAAACCCTAACCCTACCTTGTTCTGTTTAGCAAGTCTCACCTGCCAAGCCCATGTTACTTGTAATTATTGTTGCAGTGTGTTGAAGATTAAAAATTACTAAAGATGCGTAATGGGAACAAAATATCTGAGAGCTAGCATGAATGAAAGAAACACAAATGGCGTGAAACCAATACAGAAACCCTTGTTGCTAAAAATAGAAAAAGCCCCAGCTTTATTTTTTCTTGACGAACTCTTTATACACTCAGAGCATACAAGAAAGTCAAGAAAACCCTCCATTTCGTGATTGCCGAGCGTCGATCACCGGTAGTTTCGATCTGCACAGCCACACAGAGAGAGACAGTCGCAGTCTCTCTCACTGAAATCTAGCTAAAGCGTACACACACTCACTAATCACTAGCTACTAGCACTCTTTTCTTGTTTATCTTTTTATCGAAAAAAAAAAAAACCAAAAACCAAAAAAAGAAAAAGAAAAAAACCCTAGTAGCTAATGATGATGCACCAAGGGGTGGTTCATGAGAAACCCGAGGCCTGTGCTTGGATGGCAGGTGGAGAAGGTGACACTGAGGAAGGGGACAATAAGCAGAGTCCCAATATTGGAGAGGGCTCGGATCTTGTTATTGGAGGGTCGAACCGTGACCACCTTGATGGTTCTATGGTGGGTTTCGAGATTAAAAGGAAGAAAAGGATGCCCAGACAGAGGAGATCATCTTCTACTATCAATCACCTTCTCTCTTTCGCTGCTAATGCTTCCTGCTCTGCTACCAGTCACTTGCACGTGCCTACCTTCTCTCTTCCTCTTCAAGACCCTTCTTCTCCCCCCGCACGTGTGAGAGACTTTTCCTTTTCGTATATATACAAATAGCTTTAATTATTATGTCGTTATCATTAATCGTCTTGTGTTTCCTTATTAATTTGGACAACTCGATGTTGTATTACTCAAGGTAATCTGAGAGGTAAGCTTATGCTAGAGGTTAGTTTCTGTTCATTTATTTATTAATAATGATTCAATTTTTCTTGGAAATTGCTAACTCATTTTGTTTGACTGTGAACTAGATAGAAAAATTAGGCTTTTTTCCTGGATTTACATTTGGACGAAATTGATCATGTTGATAAGTTTTCAAAAAAGCTGCAGGTTTGAGAATTTTGAGGCTAATTATGTTGGACACAATTTCTTCATATCTATTTATATATATATACAGCTTTACATAATGATAGAAGAACAGTTGTTTGATTTTCTTTGTTGGAAGCGAAAGATCAGTTTTATTACAGCGCACGTATAATTTGATGTTTCAGTCCATCATTAGCTCAATTCAATGCAACATGTATAATAACTTTCATTGTCTTATGTGGCAAAATATCTTGCAAGTTAACTGTTTGTCTGCCTTTCGTTATCGATAATATCTGCAGTTCATCACCGACGTTTGGAGTAATTCAATCTAGATTCATTTGCACTAACTTCCAATTTTAATTTGCTTGGCATTTATCTTGAATGTGGTAGAGATCTAATGCATAATTAAAGTGCTTGATAACTTTTGTCTACTATCAAGAGGGTGCTCCTAATCTTGCAATTTTGTATGTTGCGAGACACCGAGACACATGAATGGGGAAGCAGTACTGCCACATGTATTTTTCGTTTACTGTTCTTGGTTTGGTTTGATCTTGTCACATCTTTAACAAATCATTGTTGATATTTCCTTTATGATGAGTAGAAAACTTAACTACGGTTCTGTATTATTTAGTTGCATTTTGGATTGACGATTTGATAAGTTTTCGAGATTATTTACGAATCCAAATGATCTTTTGCCATAGGTCATTGATCCAAGGAGACTAAGATTCCTTTTCCAAAAGGAACTTAAGAACAGTGATGTAAGCTCTCTGAGGAGAATGGTACTCCCAAAGGTCTAATTGATACTGTATTTTCTATTCCTCTTTTGTTGAGATTCATATATTTTGGACAATGTCTTTTAACTATCAATGCATCTTCATGGTGCGACAATTTAATCTCCAACTTCTTTTCATAATGGAACTTCATATATATATTTTGATGGCTCGATATTTCAGAAAGCAGCTGAGGCATATCTCCCTTTTCTGGAGTCCAAGGAAGGGATTTTTATCAGGATGGATGATTTGGATGGTCTACATGTTTGGAGCTTCAAGTACAGGTGCAAGTTCCTCTTTCCTTTTGATGGAAGAAATTACTTATTGATCTAGTATGGTATCCATCAAGAGAGTTAACCTTTAGAACAGCACGTTTAATTATTATGGAAAGTTTTCAATTTAAATCTGCAAGACTGCCAAAAATCATCAATTCTGATGGAAGGTGGAATAAATTGGTTGGTTGCATGCAGCTTCAAATATAGGAACTTTATCGAAGTATAGTTGCTGATCTCGTACATTTATCTTTACTTCTGTAAGCAGGTACTGGCCTAATAACAATAGCCGAATGTACGTACTTGAAAACACAGGTAGAACCTCGATTACCTTGTAAAGTTCTCCTTTCAATTTTTCTTCGTTCCATAGAACAATATATATGTATATAAATTGCCGATCTTATGTGGATTTTTTGCAGGGGACTTTGTTAACGCTCATGGATTACAGCTTGGAGACTTTATTATGGTATACAAAGATCATCAAAGTCAGAATTATGTATGCTGCTATTCTAAACGTTTAGATTGATGGCGTGATTCCCTTAAAAAGCATTTTGCCAATTCTTAATTGCTAATATAACTGCATATTGTTGCTTATGTTTTCTCAGGTCATCCAAGCTAAGAAGGCCTCAGATCAAAATGTATATACTGATATAGCTAGAAATGCAGTCAATGACTTTGTTCTTCATGACTGTGAAGTTAACAAATTCAGCTCCTTCTATGTGAATTATCCTGTGGTTGACAATACAGGCTTGTCGTTTATCTATGACACCACTACCTTCTCAAATGACTCACCACTTGATTTTTTGGGTGGATCAATGACTAATTTCTCAAGGATCGGTCATCTGGAAAGCTTCGGTTCTGTTGAGAACTTGTCTCTGGATGACTTCTATTAGGTTTTTCTTATAAAGATAGGCAGTGCATTTTGTTAAACAGAGCATTACCTGAAATGAAGAGTGACTTCTTCTCGTACTAAGCTGTGTACTTTTGCATGTCTATGTAAATATATGTAACAATAAAGAGTAGCCAGTCTTGAACTCGACAGGTCCAATGTTTCCTAGTGTTGGACTGATGGGCTTGCTCGTTAGAATTATCAATATACGATAAGTTATTGCAGAAGAACGCCAATAATTAAGCCTTAATTTGTTCCAGAAGGTCAGTTTCTTGCCTTGTAAATGTTTTTTGTTCGTTACCAATATAGACATAATTCTCTAAGTAAACCACAGCAGAGATCTAGAGCTATATGATCTGATTGTGTTTCTTTTTTATACTTTTTTTGTTTATGACATCAAATTAAATTAACGTCGAGCTTCAAGATTTGGGAGTACTATCGTCAATTTAGAGCATCAAATTTAAATTAAAGTCCTAATATAATTGACATATTAAGAAACGACCTAATTAACTAAAAGTATTTATATAAAGTGCTAAATAAAATCAACTTGACTTGACTCATTATTATATTTTTAAGAATTTTTAACACTAAACAAATGCATTGAGCTACCATCTATCCTTAATAAACAAGAGACTCGTTGGATCGATATCGCAACCGAATCAACTCTATACATTAAACTTAATTTCACAACCTAAATATTTTAAAGTTTTCTAACACAAATAATATTAGCATTATTATAAAACAATATCATAAAATAATAATAATAAAAGGTAAGAGAAACAAACCAAATGATCACTAAAGAGTGAAATGCCCACGGGGCAAAATTACAAAAATACCCATGCATGTCAAAAATTCCAAACTGCCCCTCGAAACCAATGTTATTGTCGCTTGTTCGATCACCATTCATTGTCCTTCGGGCACATCAACTAGTATGCATGCTTCGGAGGAGGTCTTGCTTTACCGTTCTAGTAGTGGTGGTAGCCATTGTTGTTGAAGGAGGAGAGAGAATGGATCCAATGAAGATTTGGTCATAATTGTAGTTTTCCTTCTTCTTCTTCGACGATTCTAGCCACTATGGATGGGAAAGACACCAAGCTACTCGGAGAATAACAAGGAACATTTCTCTAATGGTTAACATGTTTGATTTGGCTAGATTGGGGATATTTGTTCGGATTGTGTTAAATAGGTTGGGAAATAGTTTTTGATTAATCGACGACGATTCACACATTTTCTTCACAATTATAAGAGGGGAATGGTTGCTTAAGGCTCGAGGGACATTTATGTGGTGGTGGGGTTGTTGGTTTGGCCGAGAGAACAATGATATTAGCAAGCATAAAATGGAGTCAAATTGTTGTCCTTCTCTCCTCGATTCCGGCCTCTTCCGATGTATTGTTCTTTCTTAATTAATCGAAAATGGTGGATCTAGTGGTGGGTCAAGGTAATTACGATCGATTTGAGAGCGAAAAGTGTTAAGTTCGCGGGCTAATACGTGGGCAATTCGAATTGGCGAGGTTCTTTTCTAGAGGATGTTTAGCAAAAATTATGTTTTTTGTTTAGATGAGAGAAAATGGCAATTCGAATTGGCAAGTTTGATTTGGCTAGATTGGGAATATTTGTTCGGATTGTGTTAAACAAGCTGGGAAATAGTTTTTGGTTAATCGACGACGATTCACACATTTTCTTCACAATTACAAAAGGGGAATGGTCGTTTAAGGCTTGAGGGACATTTATATGGTGGTGGGGTTGTTGGTTTGGCTAGAAAACAATGATATTAGCAAGCATAAAATGGAGTCAAATTGTTGTCCTTCTCTCCTCGATTCTAGCCTCTTCCGACGTATTGTTCTTTCTCAATTAGTCGAAAATGGTGGATCTAGTGGTGGATCGAGGTAATTTTGATCGATTTGAGAGAGGAAACTGTTGAGTCTACGGGCTAATACACGGGGCAATTCGAATTGGTAGGTTTTTTTCTAGAGGATGTTTAGTGAAAATTATGTTTTTTGTTTAGATGAGAGAAAATTATTGTTGGTAAGAAAGATGAATAGTTTTCTTAACTAGAGCCTTCCATGGGTTGAAAGTAAGAGAAGGTGATGAATGGTATAGGCTACATTTTTCCAACTAAGGCTTTTTTAGTGGGAAAGATAGATAAATATGGAGGCTAGAGATTTTTTTTTAGGGTGAGTAGAATATTATGGCTAGGGTTTTTTTTTTTTTTTTTCATGGGGGTTTGCTAGATGGGTGATGGAGGCTCTCCCAAAAAAAAAAAAAAAAAAAGAAGTGAAAGAGTGTTTATATAGGGATTTTTTAGGGTTTTAGATAAAACCAATTTTGGTTGTTTTTTGGTTTTTTTTTTTTCAATTTCAATATATGTTCAATTATTTTTCCCCAATTAGTTCCTTAATTGAAATTATTTAATCCACATTCTCTTGATTTCTTTTAATTTCATGCTAATTAATTCTCAATCAAGTTTTTTGACTTTTATCCCTTTCCAATTATATCTCTAATCGAATGTCACTTAATCCTCGCTTTTCACGTTATTTTCAATTGGATCTCAAATCATCTTCTCATTTTTTTATTATTTCTTTTTCTCTTTTTTTTATAATTAAAATGGAGAATAATTTTAAGAAATTAAAATCCTAGAAATTCATAAAAAAAAATGCCTAAAAATCATGAAAAAGACAAATTATGTAACATTTTATTTTTTTTTGAATTTTTTATTTTATATGAAAATAAACGGAGGATAAAAATAAGTTATTACATATATCTTTAATTCCCACCGTAAATGTGAAATTAGTGATGCATTTCTGTCTGATTTTGTACTCGCCTTGCATTAGGGTGTAACTACTAGATTTAGAACAAGACACTATGTACCTCAATGGTTAAGATCAGATAGAAGTTTCGTATATGTTTCGCTTACATTTTAATATCCTTATTCCACCAGATCATCATCAGAAAGCAAAGTCTGTTCCTTGGCTTTGTTTTCTTCTTCTTGCAATGTTCTCGGTAATGAATTCTGTAGCCAAATCGGAGCACCAAAATTAGTGGATAGCATATCGTTTGAGTAAATTATATATTAGTCCTTCTATTTTTAAAAATAAATTATCTAGTCTTTTTTTTTGTTGTTTAAAAAGCTAATTATTTAATTTCTTTATCAGTGTTTATAACGTTTAATTTAATATTATTTTATTTTAAAATATTACATCGTTTCTTATTAATCATTTCATATTTTTTACTTATTTTTAAAACAAATAATAATCAAAATAAATTGAAAAAAATAAAAATGATTAATTTCTAGAAAATTTAAAAATATAAGGGCTAAACAATTATGTTTTGAAACAAAAAGGATTAATTAATTTATTTCTTAAATTTAGAGGGACTAATGAATAATTTACTCCATATCTTTTTAATCAACAATCTTTATGGACAAATGAAATGCCATTGCTTTTTTATTTTTTTATTTTTTTTAAATCCTGTTCTAATGTGATTAATTAATTAACTCAATTATTTTCAAATTTTATTTATTCAATCAAATTCTATTTTATTTAATTCATGAAACTGAAATTGCTCTTAATGAGGTTGGAATAGAATAAATATCTATGGCTTAATTTCTTTTCTATTTCACAAAAAAAAAAAAACCCATCATTTAATTTACATTTTTAAACATTTGGAGAAATTAAATTAGCCTTGCTAAGCAAATTTTAGCTTCAAATCTCACTGTAATTTTTCTCTTTGGTGAAGACTGAATTGTAAATCCAAGATCACGAAATCACCATTGGGATTTGGAGATTGATTAGATGAATCTCAAATCCAAATCAAGTTCTTCTTTTTCTTCTATTGTCTTGATCTTAGCTGTACTAATAGTTGAAATTATTTTCCTTTTTATATTATTATTTTAAGTAATCCCTGTAATGACATGGCCTAATTTTGCTGGTCAGCAATCGCACCTTACACTGCCAGAAAGGATGTACTTCATTACAGACAAAAAAAAAGAAAAAAAAAGAGTAAATTATAAATTAGTCCGTCTATTTTTTAGAAATCAATCAATTAATTTTTCTTGTTATAAAAGCTGATATTTAGTCTTATTTAGTCTTTTAACCTCTAAGTTTAATTTAATATTATTTCATTAAAAAATTATTTTTTCCATCCACTCTTTCATATTTTAAATTATTTTTTATATATATTTTTAAAAATAAATTAAAAATGAATGAAAATGATTAAGTTATTAGAAAAGTTAAAAATATAAAGATTAAATAATTAGTTTTTGAAAAATAGGATTAATTAATTTGTTTCTCAAAACTTGAAGGACTAATTTATAATTTACTCAAACAACACAGAAATTAAAACAAAAGAAGAAAAAAAAAATTCAATGCAACTCTGATATCTCCCTCTATCTCTCTGTAGCTACAGACAAAACCTCTCTCCAATCGAAATCGAAAAATCTGAGAGGAAAAATGGCGAGTAGATACTGGGTAGTTTCTCTTCCGGTTCAAAACTCAGCTTCTTCTGTATGGAACCGTCTGCAAGAACAAATCTCCAGGCACTCTTTTGATACACCTCTCTACAGGGTATAATTTTTCATTCATTCTTCTTCTGCTCTTTCTTTTCATCTGATCTGATTACTTAAACTTAATTTCCATTGATTTCTGTGATTTATTTTCCATTTCGTAGTTTAATATCCCCAATCTTCGTGTTGGAACCCTCGATTCACTCCTTGCCCTTAGCGATGATCTCGTCAAGGTATTTTTTTTATATGATTTTTTAAAATTCTAAGTAATTCTGATGTATGCAATTAATGTATTCTTTTTCTTTTTTTTTCATTTTGATCCAAAATTTGCAATTTTATGATAATCATTATGGAAATGTGAGCGAATTGAAATTAACTCTTTGCTAGTTTAAATGTTGGAATTTTTGTCAATTATTTTTTTCTTTTAATTCTGAGTTATTTTTATTAATTTCAGTTCGAATTTTGCATCTTTATCTTCATGGAAATGTGAATTCCAGATTTACGTGATTCTGAACGTAAATTAGCAGTTTGATCAATAACGTCGATGAAATCGTAATTTTATGCTTTTTGATTGTTTAATTGCTTGAATTTTTGAGTGTTCATTTAACTTTTTGGATTGTGGGGTTGTTATGAGTGATTTGATTTTTCATTTTGCTTTTATTTTAAGGCTGAATATTTAGTAGTGTATGCTTTGGCTTTTTGGATTTTTTGGTTGATTGAATTGAATGTGCAGTCGAATAGCTTTATAGAAGGAGTTTCGCACAAGATCAGGAGACAGATCGAAGAATTGGAGAGGGTATCGGGTGATAGTAATGCTTTGACAGTTGATGGTGTGCCAGTTGACTCGTACCTAACCAGGTTAGTTTTGTAATTCAGTGAAATTTTGATGTGAATTTGGGTTTTGGGTTTATTAGTGATTTTCTCAGGTTGCGTTTTGGCTTTGTAATTTTAGGTTTGTTTGGGATGAAGCAAAATATCCAACAATGTCTCCTCTAAAGGAGATTGTGGATGGTATTCATGGTCAAGTGGCGAAGATTGAAGATGACCTCAAGGTGATTATTGTTTTTTGGATGATTGAACGGTTGATTGTCAATTAATTTGTTTTCTATGCAATAGGAGTGAAATACTAGGAGTAATGCACCACATGTCATACAGTAGATACCTTGTGTTACGCGGACAGACACGTGTTACAAGATGTTTTTTGCTGATTATTTTTTCGTATTTTTGGCATTGCTAGTTGAATATCACTACCTAACTTAATGATATTAAACTCAAAGGCTTTTGAGCTCATTCATACATGTGTTTTATGCTCCTGGCATTTTGTTGCTATGCCATTATTAGATGCATGTGTTTGCTCAGAGTATGATTCGCTGCCAGCATAGTTGCCAGCATAGTTGTAATTTTTAACATTCCTTAATCTTAATTGATGAAATATTTAGGTATTTCATGACCCCTGCCTAAATATTTAAAACCTGATGATAGCTCTAATAGTGTATGGCTGGTGCATTCAGTTGGAAATTTAAACTTATTAGCCTTGTCCTTTGTGTTAGGTTCGTGTTGCTGAGTATAATAATGTACGCAGTCATCTCAATGCTATCAATCGGAAGCAAAGTGGAAGGTAATCATATTTGCGAGTTTTGATCTATCATATACATTTCTTATTTCTGGCATGACCCACCTTAGTCTATTTCAGCTTAGCTGTTCGTGATCTTTCCAATTTGGTGAAACCAGAGGACATTATTATCTCTGAACACCTTGTAACCCTCCTTGCAATTGTTCCCAAGTATTCACAGAAGGACTGGTTGGCAAGCTATGAAACGTTGACTAACTATGTGGTAAGATGTGTTTATTTCAGTATATACAAATGCTTCCATCAGTGGCTCCATCTCTGAGAGTTATCATCTCCAACAAAGTGATAAGAACTGCTGTCTGGGAGACCTGTTCACTTAGGTTAACTGATGAATTTAAGCGTGCCATTCTTATTTATTCGTTATCACTCCTCTTTTCCAGCTTGATTCATCTAGCTAGTGTCTTTCAGGTTCCCAGGTCCTCCAAGAAGTTATACGAGGATAATGAATATGCACTTTACACAGTAACACTATTTAATCGCGTGGCAGACAATTTTAGAACAAGTGCACGTGAAAAAGGGTTCCAAGTGAGTAGTACTCAATTTTATTTACTCTAGCTTTTACTCAAATTGATCTAGGAATAACTCAATTTTGTGCTTAATAGATATAGAACATAGTCATTGATTTTTTGATATTTGACTTGGTCTATAATCTCTAATGCATGGCTATGTTTCTGTCTCTCATGTGATTTAGATTCGCGATTTTGAATATAGTTCAGAAGCACAAGAGAGCAGGAAGCAAGAGTTAGAAAGACTGGTGCGAGACCAAGAAAGTTTGAGAAGTTCTCTTTTGCAGTGGTGCTACACTAGTTATGGGGAGGTAATTTTCTTCCCTTCCTTTCCTTTCTCCTACTTTTGGAGTAATATAATGCAGGTCCGATTTGAATTAATTAGCCCTTGGGTGTTTGTCGTTGAGTGGCGGTTGACAAAATATCTAATTTCAAGATTGACATTAAGGTCGGTTGTGTTGATGATTGAGAGATAGGATGGCTGATTAATAGCTGGAATTGCATGCTCAATTTGCTGGAAAACCTTGACATGCAACTAAAGCACTATACTTTGGAAGTATGACTTTGTGGAATTAGTAGGCCAGGAATTAATTAGGTTTTTCAAGTTAGAGGGATTGACGAGTCTGATGTTGTGAATAAAGCAGAAAGCTGAGAAGTTTGGTGGCTGTCTGTAACTGTAGATGAGGTACTGTCCTGTGGAATTTTAGCGAGTAAAAGAGGGAGGAGGACGAGGAGGAGGAGGAAAGGAGAAAAAATAAGAGGGCCTAAAATAAAAAACGGAGAGAGAACAAAGTACTCAACCTAGCCTTTCTTGTATTTCAAGCTGGAACGATATACTCATCTATTCTTTTTCAGGACCAATGATACTCATCTACACTGTAGAATTAAATTCATGATGTTACTTAGCTAAGCAGAAAAAATTACCCTAGAAATAATATTGGCTCTGTCTCTAAAGCTCCTGTCGGGCTTGTGTGTTTTAAGTGGATAATTACATGCTAACGTTTGATTAGTAAAGATGTGTATCTGCTGGTCAAGTGATTTTCTTGTTGATTGACAGAATTTCAAGTCCTGATTGCTGTGGAATTCAATTCCAGGAGCTTTTTTCCTGTGCAGAGTAGTTTCTTTTATTTTAACACAGTTGGAGTCTACTGGCTATAAAACCCTTCTTCTCATCCAACTGAATGAGCCTATGTGCCAGACTGCCTAAACAATTTTCAGAATTGCTGAATTCATTGTTAATACTTTTCTGATGTATACTTCTTTTAGTACCATAGTTTTTTTTTTTTTTTGGGTATCTATGAGTGCTGTTTCTTGTTATAAAATTCGTCGAACTGTTCCTTTATTTTTACTATTTTTTTTTCCATGGCTTTGGCCGGGTGCAAGTTCCCTTGTTAAATAACAAGTGTATGACCTGCAGGTTTTCAGCTCTTGGATGCATTTTTGTGCTGTTCGAGTCTTTTCAGAGAGCATTCTCAGATATGGATTGCCCCCATCATTCTTGGTGAATGTTCATCATATGTTTTCTCGTGATTTTCCTCTGGAGCATCTTTTTTTTTTTTTTCCTCACTAAGCATTGGCTTTTGGGACCATTTCAGGCTTGCGTTTTATCTCCTCCTGCTAAAAGCGAGAAGAAAGTTCGTTCAATCCTTGAAGGATTGTGTGACAGTTCAAACAGGCAAGTTTATTTACCCTTTAGATATTTTATTACATACATTGGGGGAGCCACTTTGAAGAATGCCAAAAGCTACAGTGTTTTAAAATCCATTGCAAGCTTGGACAGCGCTCACCTTGTTTGCACATTAGAAATCAAGGCTATTTATCCCTTTTTGCCCCCTTTTAAGAGGCGTTTTGTGCAGGTATCTTTATGTTTCTGGTAGGAATAAATCATATATTTCTGGATGGTCTGGAAACATTTGGATGGCCTATATAGTTAAAAAAATTGTCTCTACTGTTTTCTTCTAGAGAGCTCTGGATTTTGAGCTCTTTTATATTTGAGAATTAAATGAAATTTTCCATGTTGTAGCAACATCGATTTTAAAATCTGAATTCCTCCATAGAACAGGTTTATTACTTGTGTCATGGAATTTTGCTCACATTTATATTGTTGCTATCTAATAATCTTTCCTGGCTTGGTACTTTGATTGTTTCAACGCAGCGCATACTGGAAATCTGAAGATGAAGTGGGAGGAGTGATTTTCGGTTTGGGAGGCGATGCCGATAATTATCCTTATGTGTCCTTCACAATCAATCTTGTTTGAACCACACAGGTTCCAATTTCTTGTATGTGACAAATTCCAAGTCCGAGGATTCCTTTTGATATCAATAAACGGACGGGAATTATGACACTGTATATTAGCATTGATATCTCAATTCTTTGGTTTATTTATAATCTGTGAGCTTGCAGACTGGGACTTGGAATTGTAATGACATCTGTGGAGTTCTCATGGGTTACTAGGGGACAATGCTTGAAGGGAAATGTAATGACTATAAATCTGTAATTTTAACACCTGTATTTTGAGGTTGGTACTAGGGTTCATCATGTTTGTGGTGAGTGGACGATGCATCTTGTCTGTATTATGATGACATGATGAAGATTACAACCTGTTTTTCATTTCCTTACTTTTCCTCGTTTCCTTTTGATAAAATAAAATATGAGTTGTCATGAGACAATCGTTTCATGGATGTGTTTATTTTGTAAAAGCTTTGTCTGAGCCAAGCTTATCCTGACAAGGTTGGGCATTATTTCGGCTTACTGAAAAACCTCAGCTAGTCGACCTTAATTAACAGTTCAAAATTTTCCTGTTTTCTGATTACAGGAACCTGTTTATTTCGGTAGGCTAGGGCTTTATTTTGGCTTAATTTAAGAACAGTTCAAATCTTTTCAATCAGTTTATTTCCTGTTTTGAACTTTTACTATTCTGAATAGTAAGTCCTAAATTCCTATTTAGTACGGGCACATACACGTATGTATATTATGAAAGTCTTTAGAATTCTGGTTATTGATACACCTTGTCAAAGAGGTATAGGCATACAACGATCAGGTAGAAAGTAAATTTGTCCCAACGAAAGGTACTATCGTTTATTCTGTCTTTCTGTACGTCTCTTCTCACGCTGTTCGTTACGAATTAAGATGCTCATTGCTATAATATCAATATCAAAATATTTGTTGTACTGCTGTCTTATTTATTTTAAGCTAAAATTCGTGTGTATATTATGAATTCTTGTAATCAACAGGCAACTCCAGTTCTGCTTTCTAGTATTGTTGAGCTAATGAGAGCTAATGAGGTTATTTATATGGAAATTAGTGATGGTATTTTTGACCAAGAGATTTAATGATAATTTACGTGCATGGTTATGATGTGATCCTAATCGATATACCTATTTTAGTTTATAAGATTGAAGCTTGGTGTCCAAAAATCTGATTATAAGAAAAAAGAAGAAGACAGTTCGAGCATCATACAAAAATAATCTTTGTTCTAGATAAAAAAAAAAAAAGAAGAAAAGGATATCCTGTATTTATGATAATTGTATTTTTCTTATTCGAGCGTTAAAGAGTATTTCTAGTCTATTTTTTCCGTTAATCGAAACTTTCTATGTTTTCAGAATGGTTTTTATATATATTTGATACTTGTTTTTCTCTTTTAATCGTTTTTTTCTTTTGGAAGTCTCTCACGATGATGATAACGATAAAGTACAATACATTTTGCGGTTGCATAGGATGTTGGCGCAAAGTGAACAAGGTTCTCTCAAGTACCAAAGGTGCATCATCCTAAAGTGAATTTGTATATTGCCTTTTTCTTTTAATTTTAACCTTCAATATGAATTTCAATGAATAAACTTACAGGGCTTCAAGGCAAATTAATAGACAAAAAAAATTGCCTTGTAACTGTCATGGGAGACGTGGACACTGAAGCCTTGATAGCAAAATTGGCTAAGATAAGAAAGGATGTCGAGGTTGTATTCCAAGGTGATAGGGAAGATGACACGAAAGAGAAAGAGGAGGAGAAAGAAGAGAAGCCAAAAGAAGAAGCTGAGAAGAGGGACAAAGGCAAAGAGAAGTCAGAGGAAACAATTCCCTCAAAGCCTAATGATGCAAAAGCTGGTCCATCTAATAGAGAGATTAGAGGGGAAAATCGTACCGAGCCCATGGGCTCACAGACGTTAGAAAATGATCTTAATAGGCTCCACTATACCCCAAACTATCCTCATGGTGCCTCACCATATGCTTATGGTCATGGGCCCTATAATTGTCACCAACCCCAAGGTTATGGGTATGGTAATGGGCCCCATAATTATCACCAACCCCAAGGCTATGGGTATGCTAATGGGCCCAATAATTATCACCAAGGCTATGGGTATGGTAATGGGCCTTATAATTATCCCCAACCCCAAGGCTATGCTTATGGTAATGGGCCCTATAATGATGGGAGACCCAATTATGCATCACAATATGTCGGTGATGAATATTCCAGTGGATGCTCTATTATGTGACCTATTTAATATGGTCATTCCATTTGGTTTTGGGAGAAATTAAAATAAATAAATACTACAATAAAAAATTTAGTGGATGGAGTTTTTTTTTTTTTTTTTTTTTGAATGAGATACACTAAATTAAATGTTATTTTCTTTTGATGGAATGATAAGTTTAATTTCATGGATGATGATTCTTTTAATTTTTTCTGTAGATATTATCTTTCTACTTCTTTATTTTTGACATATATCTATGTTTACCATGTATACTACTAATACTGAGACTCTCTTCGTATATTTTTCTTTTAAACTTGATTTTTATTAAATGAAGGAAAAATCAAATAATTTATTTTTAAACAAGAACTAAAAATCATTTGTTTCTTAAAAATTAATTACAAGAATTATGTTATACTTTATACATTTTATCCAGTAGGCCCATAGTCCAAACTTATCCCAAAAAAGCCCATTTTATCCCATTGGCCCATACTCCAAACTGATCCAGAAAAAGCCCATTTACCAGGGCTAGAACAGCCATTTCTCTTCTCTCTCAGAAACCCTATGCAACATCGTATAAGTTCTCTCGTTTCTCCGTTTCTTAATTTTTGGAAACCCTAGTCTCTTCTCTCTGAGTCGCTGAGCTACAGCCGCAACAACAATGCCGCCCAAATTTGACCCTAGTCAGGTTGTCGACGTGTACGTGAGGGTCACCGGAGGCGAAGTCGGTGCGGCCAGTTCTCTCGCTCCCAAAATCGGACCTCTCGGTCTGTCGCCCAAAAAAATCGGTGAAGATATCGCCAAAGAGACCGCCAAGGACTGGAAGGGCCTTCGCGTCACCGTCAAGCTCACCGTCCAGAACCGTCAGGCTAAGGTTAGTGTCGTCCCCTCTGCGGCAGCTCTGGTTATCAAGGCGCTTAAAGAGCCTGAGAGAGACAGGAAGAAGACCAAGAATATCAAGCACAACGGGAATATCTCTCTTGATGATGTGATCGAGATTGCGAAGGTTATGAGAGTAAGATCGATGGCTAAGGATCTGAGTGGGACCGTGAAGGAGATTTTGGGAACTTGTGTTTCTGTTGGGTGTACTGTCGATGGAAAGGATCCAAAGGACTTGCAGCAGGAGATTACTGACGGTGATATTGAGATTCCTGAATGATTGAGCTATTTATTTTTCTTCTTTACTTTAAATTTTGGAGAAATAGAACTTGTGGCTTTTGTCTAATTTTGTTGTATTTGGATGTTCATTTTAGATGATTTCGTATTTTTAGCATATTGGTATTATGGATTTATGATATAATTAGCCTTTTTTTTTACCTTATTATTGTGATTTTTTTTTATTGTTTCATAACCATTTCTTGATGGGAGGTGTTCTGTTTTGCTTTTTGGTGAATTAAATTGTGTGTTTTCTGCTTGAAAAGTTGGGTGCTTCAGCCATTTCTGTGACTTGAATGATAGAAAATCCATATGGGTTTATATTGTTTGCCAATTTGATGATGTCTTGCTTCATCCAATCCAACTTCTTGTTTTTGAGTGTAATTGACTGAAGAGGTTAGGGCATCGCTAGTAGAAATAGTGATACTTTGAGGTTCCATGTCTCCTTTACCCAGGATGAGAGTTAGTTCATGTTTAGCATGACTCCAATATCCAGAAGTTGGATTGATCTTGTGAATTTTTTCCCGTTCATTCAAGTTGCTTAAGTGTTCATTGAAGCTGCTTAAGTGCCTTTTGGCTGTAATGATGATTATGCTATTTAAAGTCTTTGAAGTATTTCGTTTCGTTTCCTTGGCTATCACGATGGAGTTACTTATCTATGCTGGAAATTCTATGTTGCTTTGCCATTTCTTTCGCTTCGTTAGATTTATAGTGCATTTATCTATGCTGGAAATGCTAGGTTGCTTTGCCATTTTTTCTACTGTGGTGGTATTTGATTCCTGATGTTAATGTGACAGATCTAATTTTGGATGATTGACACGATGCAGTTACTTATCATCCAATCAAACTTCTGTGATGTCTATTGTTTTAACCTTTTCAACTAGTTGCAAGATCTACTTAAAATTTTGTAATATTGCTTAAAACTCAACTACTTCATGGAACGGTTTACCCTAGCAAATCTCATTACAGTCCTTTGATAGGTCTATCGCCTCTCTGAAGTGTATATTTGTAATCTTTATAATTCTCTAAAAGTTTTAAATAGATCCTATATATAAATTATTTTTATATAAACCCTTGATTTTAAAACATTTTGTCCATACATGAATTCTATTGAAGATGATATACGAACTTTTCAACTCTCTTAATTAGAGATGAAGTCACGGAGGTGTAAAAAAGTGGCACGAAAAGTGGTTTAATGGCTATTTTTACTTTTATTTTATCGTTATTTGGTAATTTTGGATTTATAGTATGAATTTATAGTATTAAATTATGTAATTTAAATTTTAAAGTATTAGAAATTAGATATGTAATTTAAATTACATAAATTTTATCATGTATAATGGTCAATTGAGTTAGTTGTTATTGGGAATGTTGGTTGTTATTAGGAATGTCAAAACCATATTGTTTTAATATTTTGATGTTAATTATGTTTATTTTTTGAAAAAATATTTTAACCCTTTAACTTTGATTTTTTTTTAAAAAAAAAATTCTAATAATAATATAAATTATATAAAAATAATTTACAAATATATATTTTTTTAACTTTTTTTTCATAAAATATTATAATTTTTTTATATAATTTATAAAATTAGGAGGTCAACTCTTAATTATGTTTATTTTTATTTATAATATTTTTTTCAGACTCGAAATTGTGTATTGTTAATTATGTTTTTTTTACAATAACATGTTATAAAAAAAAATCAAAATTAGGATGTTAAAAATATTTATAAAATGTTTTTTTATATAATTTATAATATTTTATAAGAAAAAAGTTTAAGATTAAGAGGATTATAAATGTTTTTTAATTTTTTTAAATAATTAATAGCGAAATGTCAAAACAATATCGTTTTGACATTTTAAGTAATGGTTAATCCAATTGATCGTTACACATAATGCAGATTAGACAATTGAGATAATACTTGTTCAATCTCTAATATTTTGAGATTCAAATAACATAATTTAATACTATGGGGCAAAATTTGCCATTAAACCCACAAAAAGTTATCAATGAAGTAATTAAAGCAGAAATTGGAGCTTGATTACTTAATTTTCCATCCAAACCCATCCCAAAACCTTTTTGTTCTCACATCCCAACAATTTTTTTTCTTGTTTTTTGTTCTTGAAAATGATTTGTTATTAATTTTCATTTTTGAAAATGATTTGTTATAAATTGAAAACGGTTTGTTATTAATTTTCTCTCAAGCAATTCAAATTTACCATCCTTGTTATTTTTGTATTGTTGGAATCAAATATCCTTGTGACTTGCTCAGTTGCTCTAATAACAGAAATGTTTCTATATCATTTCTGACAAAAAAAAAAAAAAAAAAAAAAAAAAGAAGCCAAATTAGCTAAATCTGTTGTAGGTTTTTATTCAATGACTTAAAAAAAATATGGAAAATTATTTTCAAACAATCTTCATGTCATAATTTCATTCAAATTCAGCGATAATGTATGATGTCATTGATATAATAATTGGTCTTTGTATTTTGCATGACTAGCTTGCCACGTGCTTTGCACGTATCTAATTCAATATATATTCGACAGCGCGATCCCTTGATTTCAGTAATGGTGATTGTCGGGACAAAATAATTGAATAAACCATTAGAGATAAACAAATAAAAAAACATTAATCGATTTGAGCACGTGCAATAAGTTAAAATTAAAATTATGGTCTTCGTGTTCAAAAGTTGTCTTATAATTAAGAATACGTCAATGATGATCCGAAGTCGTTAGATAATCATAAATTTTTTACTACGAAAAATAAGTATATTCTTTTTATGTATTATCGTCTTGCTCTTTTCCTCACATCTTAATTAGCTTTTCTCTCAAGAAGAACTAAAATTTTCCAATTCTTTAAGAACTGCAAAACATCAAAATATTTGTTTTCTCAAATCTCCACAATAAATGTTCTATAGTAACTTTTTTATTATTATTCAAGACGATTCGTTTCGATTTTCTTAAATTTTTTATGAAGCAATTGCAAATATATATAAATATATATGGGGGAAAAAAACTATTTTCTGAAAGTAAAAACGTCATTTTAACATTAAACAATTAATGTAGTCTCAAACCACCTTAATATCTCAAGACAATTTTTCTCCAATAGGATATCACGTAAGCCATTTTCAAGAAAACAGAAACTTCTTCTACATTCTGTTCCAATACAAAATACAAAAACAAACAGAAACTTCTTGTATATTCAATTCAGATTTGTATTAAAATTAGGGTGATCATTCGGTTAAACGATTCGATTATTCGATTCGATTTTCGGTTAACCAAATTAAGAAAAATAAAAACCAAAACCAAACCGAAATAAATTCAGTAAATTCGGTTTGTAACCGAATTATTTCGGTTTTAACTGAAATATTTTGTTATAAAAAAAAAAATCATTACAGAGAGATGATTTGTACTAGTACTTAGTCTACTAGCCAATGAAGTAACATCTTGTTATCAATTAATCCTTTTTATAAACAATCATAAAGCCCTTAAAAATTTTAACTAGGCTTTAATGAAAACTAGTCCAAGTGTAATTGATTTTATCATTCAAACACACTGTATCCCAATTAATTACACTATCACTTTCCTTTCTTACCCCAACAGTCCTCAAAATTTACTTCCTATATACGTGTTTCAGTTTCAGCAAGAATGAAGATTGAAAAATTAAAGATTTAAAAATTAAAAATTTTTTTATTATTTATTTCGATTTTTAATCGAAACCAAAATTCTTTTTCTAAAAACCGAACCAAGCTGAAATAATTTCAGTTTTTTCGATTCAGTTTTATATTGTATAATTTTACATTTAAAACCGAATCAAATTTCATAATTCAGTTCTATTTTATTCGATTTTCGATTAACCGACCAGTTTGCTCACCTCCGATTAAAATAGCTTTTTGTTGAAGCAATTTCTCCATAATTCATTCTATAAATAAATATTAAAAAAGAAAAAAAAACCTCCAAATTTTCCTAAATTCTACACAAATTGAACAAATAGCAGATATGATAATTGTGCAATTGACATCATATAAAACCAATCGAGAGAATTTTTCATTGATCACTGCTCACTAGCACTTCAAAGCAATACCAACCTAATAGCCCGATCAATAATAACAATGAACTAAATCAACTGGGGAGAAAAGAAAAACGAATGCAAAAGTAACATTGAAGATTGCCGTAGAAAAAGTAATGAATCCCATGCATTCACATGGCCGATAACAAGTATATTCCCATATAAGTACCCAAAAGAAATTTGGACAGAATAAATTACTATCCCCGATCTGCCCATTATTTTGGTTGTCCTCAAGAGGGGATGCTGTGATCCTAACGTCAAATTGAAACTTCATATATGATCTAACTAGCGGAAGATTTCATAACCTGTGAAGAATGAGAGAATAAAACCATCCCTCATGAAACCAAAATTAGTCAAGATGACAAAAATTGACAGTAAGTCTCAAACGAAAAAGAATAATCTCAGTTGGCTTGGGATTGCTGAAGCAGTGCCAATCCTATCTTTACACCTTTGCCAGTTCAGCAGCAGGAGCAGCAGCAGCAGCAGGGGCGGCACCACCAGTAGTTGGCCTGAAAAATCACATCAAATCCTTTTAGCAATGCAACCCCGGAACAAGTCACAACGAAGATTTACCAATCATAGGAAATACTTACAATCCCACAAAAACTTTGAATGCATCATAGATACCCCACTGAGCTCCGGTAAGAGTTCCAATCATGACAATACGGAGAGGCAGCCCGCGAGTAAACAGACCCAACACACCTAGCTTCTTCACAGCCTGCAAAATCAAAAAAAATGTTAATAAGGAGACAGGAAATGATGTTTTTTCAGGGAACAATACGTTATGAGAAGGTACTCACTTCACCAACAGTTGCCCCTTTAGCATTGTTCAGGAAAGAGACAAGATTATCAGCAGGGTGAGACACAATAGCACAGAACACACCAGCAACATAACCACCAGCAAAGCTAATACCAAGCTGCAGAGATTTGCTGCACTGGTCCTTTGGTTTAGGGATTGAGTACTTGTAGATCATCTCTACAATTGTCTCAAAAGATGCAAACTTCATCATTGTATCTACAAAAGAAAATGATAAAAATGTTGTAACATTGTCAGCAACCAGAACCACTGATAAAGCCAGTAATAATTTGAACAATGGCGTAAATAGCAACTTGAAGACATGCCAAAATTAACATTCAATACATCAAAGGCTCAGTGTAACTGTTGCACATCCACCACAAGCTCAAACCAAGTATGATTGCAAGAAGGAAAACCATGAAACCACAAACTTAAATGATAACATGAAAAAACAGAGAAATCTCAATGAATAAAATCATAGTTCTTGTAAGCTAAACCCTTCAATAAAAGATGAAATATGCAATGCACACTGTCAAATAATTATACAAGTTCTTTTGACCAGCATTTTGGTTCAAGGCTACAGCAATTGTCGAGTTGGTCGACTTGGATAAAGACTTCAGCAGGACTCACAATATCAGCCCCAAATTCCCAACTTTTGCACACAGTAACAAAGCCAGACTTATACTTTCTCTTTAAAGGTACAAGATGAACCAGGCTCCAAACAAAATGTTGGCAACCAACTACCAATTGCCAACCAAAAAAAAAGCAAAAAAAAAAAAGCAAAACAGCAAAGAAAAAGGAATGGAGAAGAAAAAAAGAATGGTTATGTATATTTTTTGGGAATAAAAAATTTCTGGATTGAAGCAAGGATTCTGAAAGCAGAGTTTCACACATCATACTGCTCACCCTCCAAGTGTCAAGGAAAAAAATAGACAAAACAAACAACAAAGAATAGCTTGGACAAGTGCTGCTCCTACACGTACAAGATAGCTTAACAATAAATACTCATTTCAAACAAGGAACAAAGATGAATAATCATATAACCATGACCTAAAACACATCATTAACAGGGAAATAAAAAAAATAGTCTTAAATGCTGTAAGACTCCAACACTGTAAAATAACATGCCTGTGTAGTAACAGTTAAAAAAAAAATAGAATAGAAAATTGAAAATGTCAAATGCACTGAACAGTTTCTTAGCCCTACTGAGCGTAAAATAAATATTGAAAAGTAAAGTTGATGTTAAACTTACATGGTATCTGGCGACCCCAGAGAGGAACAATACCTTTGTACAACCTGAAATAATCAACTAGTTAGTTCCTTATACATCTTAAAAGAAATTTTCAAAACAAATCACAGACATCATAAAAGCATACCCAAGAGCACCTTCTGCTTTCACAAACTTTGGCAGTCCATCTGATAAACCTCTAGCAAATCCAGGCTGAGTTTGAACTCGAACCTTCACTGCCTCGAAGGGGCAAAGAGCAATATCTGCAATCACCTCGGCAGAAGCAGAACCAGCAAGGTAAATCAAGGTCTTGTACTTGGTTGCATACTCAGGCCCAGCAAGATCAGAGTAGTACTTCTTGAAAAACTCATAGAATCCAAATTTGCAGGCTCCCTGAGCACTGTAACCAAGAAGGGTAGGCACCCAACCCCTGAAGAAGCCTCTCGCTCCTTGCTCCTTGAGCAGAACTCCAAAACCAGATGAGATGCTCTTGTACTTGGCAGGGTCAATCTGAAAAATCAATCATATAGATAGCAGTTTATAGCCTCAGTATTTTAACACACATTGCTAACCAATTTATCTCATATTTGATGGCTGTTACAAAATCAAGATAAAATAAAACACTGACGGATGCTGGCACATTCTAAGAAAAGTATGGACCTACATGTGACAGTGTACAACAGATAGAAGCACACAATAACAACAACAAAACCAACCTGTCCCCAACAACTGACGGACGCTCAGTCATTCTATATACCATAGCAAGAAGATACCATTTACTTTCATTTACTTATCATTCCCTAGTTTTCAACAAGTTAGCCAATAACCATATCACATTTGCTGAAAAATTGCATCAACCAATCAAAAATTTTCAGGCGTGTTATTAATTAAAAAAAAAACTCAAAAACCGCTAACATATTTAGATAGGTCTTCAACAACAAGCACAGAAAAATTCCACAGAAACAAAAGAAATATGGAAATTAAAATTATCAATGAAAAAGTAACTTATACTAGGAACCGTCAGCAATTCAATCTATGATCACATCAACATGTAAAATGCTCAACAAAAATGAAAAGAGAATCATACAGTTACTCTATTTATACTTCAGTTGGCAAAATAAAATGAAATCTAACACACAAAATCAACAAATAGGCACAAAATACAATTTAAACTGCAAGTTTGGAAATGTCAAACAGATCTGATCTCTTCGAAACCCTAAACCACAATAAAAAAATAGTTGAGAAAAAACGAACAAGATCTAACACCGAAGAGTATCAAAATCAAGCTGAAAAAACATCTAAATCACAACAGAAACAGCAATACAGATCTAAACTAAGAACGACAGAAAACAGCGACAAAGCGACGCAAAAGAAGCAAAGATCTAGTACAACACGATACCTGCATATTACACTTGACAAGGTCAAGAGGAGTAACAGCCATATGAGTAAGTCCACAGCTAAGAATACCACCAGCAGTACAAGCAGCATAGAAAGCAGGTGAGTACATCTCGATCTTCCTTCCTGGCTCACTCGGTGCGGGGATCACAAATCCACCACTACTTTTCCTCCCCATAGCCGCCGTTGACGACGGAGAAAGCGATGGTTGTTCAGAGTGAAGGAGCGTAGAGAGAGAGAGATTTTTAGCGGAGGAAGAAGCGGAGTAGAGGAAGCTAGGGATTAGGGACTGTTGTCTATGAGAATCCATTCCTGTAGAGAAATGAGGGTTTTTTTTTTTTTTTTTTTTTTTTTGGCAAAGAAGCGAGAGAAATGAAGAGAGCAGCAGAGAAAGGTTTTCTAGGGGTTCTCTGCCTACCAATCTCTCGCTGCCAATTGCGCTGCAAGAAATGACGCAGGTATCGATTCCGGTTTTATTGGCTCTTACCAAACAACTCTCGCGTGATTTAAACGGGCTTTGTGGGTTTTTTAAATGGGCATTTCGTTTTCGTTATTTACAACCAAAAAAAAAAAAAAAACAACTAGGGCTGATGCAAATATATACATATAATAAGCAGACAGAAGTGCTTAATTTAATATTTTGGGTTGTTTGAGCTAAAATTCAATGATTTATCTCGTTAATACTACAAATTGATTTTTCTGTTTTTATTGTATTTATAGACTACTCATACTTAAATTAGTTTATGAATGAGAAACTTTATTTGATTTATCATCTAGTATTTTTTTTAAAAAAAATAGCAAGTATTTTATGTAGTATAAGGGTATGGTACATGTTTATTTTTATCAATGATTATTTGAATATTGGTATATTTACAGGAAATTACTCGTATCCATTCCTTGTATTTGTGTTAAAAAAAAAAAAAAACATGTTATTGTCAATTATATTTGGGGTCATGTGACCTTTTGAGAATGAAAGGTGTACCGACCCACTAGGGTCAAAGGGTTACCAATATTACAATGATACATATACTTGCATAAAAGTCGACTTGATTTTTTCAGCCAATTAAATTTGATTTTACGCAAAAAAAAAAAAAAAAACTATTGATTACTATTTATTATACTATTTGAAATATTTTTTCATATAAACTCATTTTCATTGTTCATCCAGATGCATTATTCCTTTTATAATGCAACAGTATTTTTTATAGTTTTTAAACATTTTAAAGATATTTATTATGAAAGTTTTCGTAACATTACATTTGAATTTATCTTTTATAAATATTATTTTTTTAATTCGTAAATATTTTGTATTTGATTTTAGTCCTATTTTTTTCATTTTGATCATTTTGGTCTTTTTTTTATTTTTTAATTAAAAATTTTAAGAAAAAAGATGTTTAGAAAAAAAAACTTACAAAATAAGGTTTTAACTAAAAATATGAATAAAGATAAATAAATGATATTTTTTAATAAAAAATTTATGAAAATATAAAAAATAATTGATCAAATATAAAATTTTGATTAAAAATAATAAAATTAAATAAATTTTTATTTCGTTTTAATTTGATATATTTTGATAGAGACACAATATAATACGAGATGTTAAAATAAAATAATTTTATGTATTTTGTTCAAGGAAAAAACTAATCTTATCTAAGAAGTTCAATTCAAGTTTAGTTGAGGTTGTGATGACAAAATGGTAAACTCCATCCGAAACATGCAATGTTTCTCCTCTTGGTACAAATACAATGAATATCAAGTTTGCGTTGGTTGCGTGCTTCTCAGACTGAAAGAAATGGGTAAAAGGGGCAAAAATGTAATTTTACAGGTAGGGCGGCGTGTATATTATGGACGCTTAAAGAAAAGACCAGACAGCGGTACCAGTGGCATATTCCTCACACATATTGGGAACGCCAAACCTGAGTCAACTATGTTCCACCTTCATGACCAACTTGTCGAATTATGTCATTTTCATCAGCATCTTTTCCTCTGCTGTTAGGATTAGGAAACATGTGATTTCAATTTTGTACACTGTATTTACATTTGTCAAAATTTGTTCTTTTTAAGGTTTAGGGTAATGTTAATACCAGTTTTTTTTAACTCGCAGCATATATATATATATATATATATATATATTAAAAAATTATTTTATTTTAATATCTCATGTTATATTGTGCGTCTATTAAAATATATTAAATTAAAATTTAATAAAAAATTATTTAATTTTATCATTTTTAATTAAAAATTTACATTTGACTAATTATTTTTTATATTTTTATAATTTTTTTAAAAAATATTATTTTTTTATTTCTATCCATATTTTTAGCTAAAATCTTATTTTATAAATTGTTTTTTTCTAAACATATTTTTACTTTAAAATTTTTAATTTAAAAAATCAGAGGAAGAAAAAAGGCAAAAACTAAAATGATCAAAATGAAATAAAAATATAAGATCAAAATCAAATAAAAAATATTTACAGGCTAAAAGATAATATTTAGAAATAAAGGGTCAAAGTGTAATGTCATCAAAACTTTCATAATAAATGTTTTTAAAATATTTAAAAACTATAAAAATATTATTACATAGTGAAAAAAAATAATGCCAACGAGTTTGTGTGAATAATATTTTAAATAGTATAATGAATAGTAATTAATGGTTTTAATTTAGTTTTATTGTAACGTAATTTAACCTTATAAAAAGAGGGTTGAAGAAAAATGGGGGGAATTTTGGTTTTCTTACCTTTCCCTCTATTTCTGAAATTTATGGTAATTTATTCGGGTTTTTCTTTGTCTTTCTATTTTGTACCTATCCTTGAACATGGGTTATATAATTTTTAAGATTCATTATTACTCATAATTTTTTATAACTTATGTCTAAGATTTGATTCTTTTATTTACATCATTTTACATGTTACCTTTATCAAATTAAGTATTTTTCATGCTGAAATCCACCTTAAATTCCTCTTCCCATTGGATTTTAAATAGATTATTTATATTTGAATTAGAATATTCACGAAATTTGTTTTGTTATAATTGTTATTTGAGTTTAAATGGAAAGCAATCCCTTGTCGTTTGAGCTAATCAAACTGTACTTCGGTTATTAACAAATTCCGAGAATAAAAACCAAATGTCTATTACTTATTAACCAATCATGTCTTCATCCAGGAAATTAACATGATGCAAGATAATATTTTGAAGGGAAAACATGATACAATCCAACGTAACTATAAAAATATACATATGAATTAGGATCCCAAATTCATGGATCCCATTAATTATTAACAATTGTTCATGTGGCCCAGTCACATGATGTTGACCCATATTAACAAAAAAAAAAAAAAAACTCAATCAAAATGATAGTTTACTATTTATTGATATTGTTCAAAAAACTATTAATCCAGACTTATATATATTATTCACACATACTCATATGTATTATTTATTTCACTATGTAGTGTTTTGGTTTTTTTTTTTAAAGTTTTTTTAACATATTTATTATGAGAGTTTTCATGGCATTATAATTTGAACTTTTTTCTTAAACATCACTTTTTCGGTCCACAAAATTTTTCGTTTTATTTTGGTCCATCTTTTTTGTTTCATTGTCACTTTGGTCTTTGCTTCTTTTTTTTTCTTTGATTTTTTTAATTAAAATTTTTTAAGGAAACGATGTTTAGAAAAAAGAATGTACAAAATAAATTTTTAACTAAAAATATATAAACAATTATGAAAATATAAAGAATAATTAGTCGGATACAAATTTTAATATAAAGAATGAATTTTTATTTAGTTTTTATTTGATATATTTTGATAAATGTATAATATAACACGGAATATAAAACTAAAATAATTTTTTTAAAATAATTTTATATATTTTATCCGATTTATAACATACCGTAGGTAAAAAAATTAATAAAATATAAATTAAATGAGTGCTTGCATATGTAGGCCTACCCAAAGGAGAAGGCATAAAAGCCCACCAATGGAAGATTCAATTATTCAATCGTTGTAATTAAGCACTTTTTGAAAACCAGGGTATGAAGAGCAAATCAAGCCCGAATTAATGGAATATTATCATTAATTAAACCTCATTAAAGATGGATTTATATCAGGGGCAAAGAAGATGCGTTTTTTCAAGGGAGAATGAATTTATATACAAGGCAAGATTATGTATTTTTTTCAAAATTCTTAACGTCTATCCTTTGTTTTTTGCTTGTCTATTCTGAAAGCCAAGAGAGATTCTGGCTTCAGAACACATCTGTTCAATGGAAATCATCGACGCTTCATGTTCTGTGGCTCCAGGAGATCATGATAGCTACCAACATTCTCCATGGCTTCAGGAAACTCTATCAGGTTAGTCTACACCTGCTTCAGTTATACTATCCAGTTTTAGTCATTTTAGCCTTTTTTTATGTAGTGATGATACAAATCAAATTATGTACTACTCAAAATTAGAACAAATCAATCATTCTTATCCAATTCCAGTAACCAAATGTTATCATATGATTGATCAAATGTCGAATAAAATAATTATTTTATCCTACTTTTGAATAGTAGATAGTTTAATTTATACCATAACTAGATAGAAGAGCTAAAAATAAACAAAACTATATATTACAAAAGCACAGGATGATTTTCTCCCGTCGATTAATCAAGAAGAAAGCTTGCATTAGTTTTGAAACTATAGATATTAATCCAGGAAACTCAAAAGCTTATATACAATGATGGTTTATGCCACTTTTGTTTGTTCTCCTTAAATTGATGACTCAAATACTCTTGAACATTTCCTGGCCATGTGGTTTGGAGTTGTAACACGAATCACTCCATCAAGGTTCTTGCTTTGGTAACACAAGTACACAGCAAAAAAAATAATTGATTTTTAACATTCCCTGCTATTTTTCTTTACAGTCAATAGGAAAAAAGGAGAAGAAGACGTTTCTTCATACCGAAAGGTTTACTGAATCACAGCTGGTATGCTTTTCCCGTTATTGCAGACATGAACGAGAGAATGAAAGCCATGACGACCCTTATGGAAGAAGATGGCGATTCTTCAGATAGAGTTGAGAGTCATTACAAGAGGCGGCTGGATCTTGTTCAAATGTTAGAAGAGTTCAACAGATCTTATTGCTATTTAGCTGAAAAGTATGACAGGTTGAGGGGTAAATTCCATTATGTCAACGATTCAGGGCCTACACCTTCATATTCTGCAACAGACAGTAACAAGGATACAATCATAGAAAGCTCTGATAATTCTAACTTGGAGGTTTTAGATTCCCATCCTGAATATGCTGTTGAAGATCCTGAGATCAAATGTGACAGCACTCACTTTGACATTGAATACTTGGACAAGATTGTGGATGAACTGATTTTGACTGAAGAATGCAAGATGGAATTAAAAGCCAAACTTGAAATAGGAGAAAATCAAATGGATAAGAAAGCCAGAGATTTTTTCCAAGTAGAAGATAGCAGTACTAATATGAGTGATTATGGTGCAGTTCAGGCTACAGCAAGAGACAACTCAGAGGGTGGTAGTTATGAGTGGGAGAACACATGGTGTGAACTCAAGTTTCAAATCACAAACCTTATGGAGGAAAATCTGCAGCAACAGGCCGAGTTAGCAAGGAGAAACATTGAAAAGAGACTGGTGATTGATAAGCTCCGGCTACAGCTGGAACAGTTAAAGGCTGAGAACAGGGCCCTCCAGAGCTGTATCAGCTGTTTAAAAGTTGGAGAGAAGCGCAACTCATTTCAGATGAGAGGACTACTCTCGGGTAAGTTTTTTGGAGGAGGTTGTTCATGATTGGACATTTGGCTTATTTTCCTGCTCAAGCAAATTCTTCAGCTTGAAGTTCATACAAATCCAGTCCTCAACATCAAAGCTAAAAGTACACATCCTGGACAGGTTACAGGAGCAAAAATTTGCCCAATTACTTGTAATGCTCTTTGTAATTCATAACATGTTATTGTTCAAAGGGTAATCTTTGTGCTGTAACAGACTGCTTCCTTGGCTCGTGATTCTGTGCCTGAAGGTCTTAGACTCTATCCATATAAATAAAACATCCTTTCCATAATTTCAGCAACAATCACATCAAAAAATACATGGGCCTCACCAACCTGGAACCAATTTTTTTATTTTTTCTTGGAACTTCTCTCAAATCTGTAGTTAGGACTTAGGAGAGGAGATAAGCTATCAGCTACCTACATGGCTGCCTTTTGTTTGAGGAATTAAAGGTCATTGCGATTCTGACTTATAGAGTCAAATTATCTAGGACTGTTGTTTTTGAGAATGCTCTTTCACTGGAGAAGTTGCAGGACCATGGTAGCTACAATCTCCTAATATCAGTCAAAAGCAACAGCTAGCTTGCACTTAGCAGTGCCATAGCCTTGTTCTTCTCATGTATAGATTTGTTACCAATAATCTCCACATGAACACAAACCGTCTTTGAAGTGATGAAATCTCTTTGCATCTCTCACTACAATTTCTCTACTAACAATCTTAGAAATCAGCTTAATAACAGTATGGCAGTCACCACAAACCCGAAGATTCTTAATAACATGAATAGTTGAACCAGGAACTGAGTTCATGACTCCAAAACCGACAGCCAATTTCTCACTATGAACTCGCACAATCATTTCCTTCTCCTCTTCATCAACATCATGAAGAACTGATGCCGAATTAGGAACATAGCCAAGTTCTTGCAGCTTCACAGAGAGTTCTTCCAAATACTTGTAGATCTTCTCATGTTGAGGATGCTCTTTATCTCCAACCAAGAATACATGCACCCTACCGTTGAGTTCAACCAAACTGAATCCCGGTGGTTTAACCAGTCCCCGATCTTTCATAAGTATTCTCATCCTTTCAACATCTTTCCATCTTCCAGCATCTGCATATATGTTTGCAAGTAAGACATAATACCCAGAATTACTTGGTTCTAGTTTAAACAGTTCCTGTGCAGAAATCTCTCCAAGCTCCACATTCTTGTGAATTCTACAAGCTGCAAGAAGAGAACCCCATAGTACAAAATCATGCCTCACCTTCATACTCCTTATTAAGTTGTATGCTTCATTGAGATATCCAGCACGTCCAAGAAGATCAACCATGCAACCATAGTGCTCAATCCCTGGTTCTACATTATATTCATTACTCATGGCATTAAACCAACGCCGACCCTCATCTAAAAAACCAGCATGGCTACAAGCAGCCAGGACCGAAATAAAAGTTACATAATTTGGTTTGACCCCAGCCCATATCATCTGATAGAAAACATCCAAAGCTTCTCTTGCAAAGCCATGCACTCCATAACCAGCAATCATAGCAGTCCATGACCTCACATTCTTCTCCTTCATGCCATCAAATGCATTTCTTGCCATTTCAGCTTGCCCACATTTGCAATACATATCTATGATTGAGGTACACATAATCACATTATTTGCAAAACCCATCTTTATAACCTGTTACAAAAGATAAATAAATAGATAAATTAAGCACTTGAGCCAAACAAGATCATCATTCAAGACAGTCAGAAATCTCATAAGCAGATGGGATAACTATAATTCAATGCAGCATTGCAGACATAACCAGGCATGTAGCTTAACTCATCAACGCACCAACATGGCTGATGTTAGTCTCACAGCAATGACCATTCTAGTAGGAAAAGAAAACGAAGTACCTGATCATGCAAACACATCCCCACACGCAGAGCCCCCTCGTTTGCACAAGCTAACAACAAAGTGGACAAAGTTATTGCATTGTATTTACCACCACCATCCTTTAACATCCAATAAAAAACTTCGAAAGCATCCATCGATAACCCATTTTGGGCATACACTGCAATCATGGAATTCCAAGAAACCACATCCTTCTCAGCCATTTCATTAAACACCCTTCTGGACAAACTCACTTCACCACACTTTGCATACGCATCCAACAAAGTATTCTCAACTGCCACCACTTTATCCAACCCGAGCTTTATAGCAACCCCATGAACACTCTCACTGACTTCTTTATTAGAAACACGAGAACATGCCGATAAAACAGAAACCATAGCAACAGAATCAACAAAAGTTTCAACCTCTTCACCATTTCCTTCACTCTTTTCAATAAAAAACTCCTTAAAAACCAATAACGCTTCATGGGCATTATCATTCTGAACATACCCGGTGATTAACGAAGTCCAAGTAACAATATTCTTCTGAGGAATTTCATCGAACAGTATTCTTGCATCACTTAACTTCCCACATTTTGAGTACATGTCTATCAAAGCTGATGACACAAACAGGTCCGATTCAAACCCAAAAACAAAAGCTTGTTGGTGGGCTTGTTTTCCGGAGTTAAGATCAAACAAAGCCGAGCATGATTTGACTGCGCAAGGCAAAGTTGAGCGGTTTGGTTTAATATCGAGCTTTCGCATCGAAGCGAAAGCACGGAGAGACTCGTATGAATCACCACCGCGAGCCAACTCGGCAATAAGTGAGTTCCAGGAGTAGACATCGGTCTTGTCGAAGTATTTGTTGAACCAGGTAATTAGGTTAGTGTTGGTTGCTGCTGCCGCTGTTGTTGAAAAACAGTTTTTATGGATTTGGAAAGAGACTGTAAGTAATTGAAGTGAATTGGGACTCGGAATCTTCATTCATTCTCTGTACGATTTTTGAGATCCTTTTATCTATTTTGCTTTTGCTTCTCTCTGTTTAAAGCTTGAGGATTATGGAGGGAAATGCTCGCTCGGGATTAAGGGCCTGTTTGGCATTAATGTGCTGTAATGTGTCGAGGCTGCTGGTTACTGTTTTTGCTGTGAGGTAAATCAAGTCTAATTAAATTATACAATTTACTCTATATTTAGTCCTTATATTGCTTTAATTTTTTTTATTGAAACTCTCTACTTTTTTTCAGTTCGATCGAAACCTTTTCCATTTAGAAAAATTTAGAAAAATTTATTGATTCAACCAAAGTCGAGGATGCGTGGCTATGTCAGCCCTAAATGTTTCTATTTTTTGTTCAAAATTAAAAATACTAAAATTAAAAATATTTTTATTATTAAACTAATAATTAGAATTAAAATATAAATTAAAAAGACAATTTTGCCCCCATCCCATCATCCCAAAATCCATAAAAAAAATATATATATCTGATGCTATTGATCTCTATCTGAACTTCTCTTTCTCTCTCTTTTTTTCCTATAAAAAAACTGTCATAATCTTCGAACCCAAATCGATAAAAAAAAATCCCTAATTTTTCATCTTCTTCTTGACACAAAGGATAGGAAGGAACTAGCAATGGCTAGAAGCTAAAATCTGAACTTCAGAGTTTGAATTCGAAAGGAGTCCAAGTAGAGGTGGAATTAAAGGGCAAGGGAAATTCAAATTCTAAGAAGACTCCAACTGGAACAGGAACACAAGGGTCTGCATCTACTGAAAAGAAACAATAGGCAAAGGGAGAGATGGTTCTGGTTCCTCTGAGAAAGATGGAGCTAAAAGAAAGAGATGAAAATATTATTGCCTCTTTTCCCTGTATCACAGATTTGTTGATGAGTTTCTGGATGATGTTTGAAATAGGGATGGCTTGCTTGGAAATTTTCAACCAACGTTGCATTTGCATATGGATCTAGCCTACTATAACTAAACCATGATGAATTGAAATGTTCAACATCTTTTATATATAAAAAAAACCTCCAGGGAATTTGAATGGTGAGATTGCATTGAATCTTGATCTGTTCAATGGATCAAGTAAATATGCAGTCTTTTGATTCTTGACTTTCTTTTGGAGTGAATGAGAGAGAACGGAATTAGAATCTGGGTTGCCTTTGTTTTGTTGTTTGAATGGAGAAATCGAGTGTCCAAATTTGATTGTTATGGGGGTTTTAGTTATTGTTGTGGAGTCAATGCTGAGGTCGGTCCAAATGAATCTCAAAAATTGGATGGGCCATCAGTTCCATGGCCGCCGAGGCAGCTGGCATTTGGACTTGTTGATTGTGGCCGGTGGATGGTTCGGTGGAGCAGCGCTGTTGATGGAGAGAATCAGTGGTGGGTGGGTGATCAGTGGAGTTTGCTTTTTGTGTGTTCTTTAACAGTGTTTTGGTTGAGAACGAAGAAGAGAAAGAGACAGGCAGATAGGGGAGAGAGAGAGAGAGAGGCGAGTGTTAATTTGATTTAGTGTTGATAATGGGGTGAGGGCAGTTTTGTCTTTTTTCATTTTAGTTTAATAAAAAAAAATCTTTTGAATTTTAGTCTTTTTAACGTAATACTGTGATATGTGATACATGGATCAACTATGTTACGTGTGTATTTGTAATTAATTATCATTAATTTTAATAAATGGTGTGAATTAATAAATTTATAAGAGTAGAAAATTTTAATCAAGCTGGAAAAAAATAAAATGTCTTAATCAAAAAATTTAAACAATATAGGGACCAAATGTAAGATAAACCTTTAAATTATATGAGTGTGCTTTTAAGATATAAAATGACTAATAACGTTTTTATTAAATGATTTATGAGTTGTTAACTTATATAATATGTGAACATAATTTTTTTATGAAGTATTCTTACTTTAAATAAAAAAATAGAATGATAATATATATAGACACATCATTCAGAAAATCAATGATATAAAAAAATTGAAATAGAATTATGTAAAAATGGTAGAATATTTTGTATATATATTTTTTTATTAAAAAAATTAATAAAGAAAGTTGTTATTCTAATAATAATAAAAAAAATTCTCACAATAAGTACTTATACTTTTGGTGAAAAGTAGTGTAATTTATTTGTTTTAAAAGCAAAACAATTTTATTTTGAAATAATACTTGCTTTAGTTTCAAAGCAAAACAAATTTCAATCAAATACTACTTAAAAAAAAAAAAAAAAAAAAAAAAAAAAACCTAAAAGCAGTTGTGCTTTTAAAACATAACAATATTAAAGAACACTAACAATGGTAATAGTGTTTGTATATAAAAGAAAATGGGACCAAACACGAAATAAACCTTTTTTTTAAAAAAAAAAAAAAAAAAGAGATTCAAGGGATTTTTGAAAAATGTTGACGATTATTTGATTACATATGGATATGGTGCATATATAAAATCCATCTAAAACAAAGAATCCCATTTAAGTAATGGTTTCTGAATCTCTTGATCCACTTGATTTAACCGGCACTGAACATCATGATGCAAATTCGCCTTTGTGTTTTGTAGCGGTACTACAAAAAACAAATCACAGTCCTGTAATTCCACCACATCAATTAATTTAGAGCAGTCCCGGAATTCCAATTGCCGAAACTGTAATTGGCTAACCTTTTTGGGAGCTTCAAGATCTATTACACAGATTCATTGAAAAATGGTTTCATTGACTGAATGGCTAGTAAAGTCACAGTAATTATACAGTAATTAATAATAAGTGATGACTAAGAAAGCATCCACCCTCTTGTGCACAAAAATTGGATACAAATTCTACGCTTCTACACAAGAGAAACTAGTTTCATTTCAAGTAAGAATATACTAGTAAGAAACTAATTCCTAGACCAAATATGGTGACTTGACCATTGAACTTTGCTGGGCTTGAGGAAATCTTCCCTATAAACTCACCTGAGCTCGGCACTGGTGCCAATTCTTCTGAACTTGGAGGAGCTGCAGGGCCCAGAACCCATTGGTCAGTTGGAGGAGGGAAAAACGAAGACATGTTAGGAGCATTAACGTATGGCAAAACAGCAGGAGAAGCTCCAATGGTGGGCTCACTAGTTAGAGCAAGCACATTAGCAAAGACCATGATCATTGATATAAGAACAGACAACTTTGTAATGGCAGCCATGATCTTAGAATTGTATGGTAGCCTTATCTAAGGCTAGATATAGTGAAGAAAATGTGGGCAGTGAAACGTTGAAATCTTGAAAGGTAACCAGATAAAGATGGTTGTGACTGTTAGTTCAACGTCACGGGATAGATGGTGACAGATTTAATCCTGCCAGCAGGGCTTTGTTGTCCTTATTTATAATACCCTTTTTTTTTCCTTAAGTTTGTCTTGTTGTGTTATTGGTGTTTTAGATCATTAATAGATTCTTTACTATGTGATTGGGAAAACAATTGGCATGTGCAGACAGACAGTAGTAGTGGAGCCATATAATTAGGGATGGTAACCTAGAGCCTCATGCTCTGTCATAGTTTGAGATAGATGATGGTATGTAAGATATCACCCCAAATAAGACACGGGTTAGGAATAGGATGGCATTTTTTGGGACAAGATGAGGAGTGAGGATGAGCCTTTTATTTTTAGGAATGATAATCTGACGAAGTCTTACTTCATCCTATTTGGAACGATGATGGTATGTGAAATATCATCCCAAACGAGGCACGGGAGGGTAATAGGATGGCATTTTCTAAGATAAGGAGGGGACGGAGATGACCATTCTCACCCTCGCCCCGCCTCATTACTATCCCTGCATATAATGCTGTAAGAAAGAATTATTCTTTCAATTGCCAAGTTTGGAAGATAAGGTACGTAAATGGGGCTTAAGTGTCATGTTTTCTTTGTTTATCCCATATGAGTATACGTAGATGACACTTCTGATGAAGTTTCACCTAGGAATGGAGAAAAATTTTGAGGCTCAGAGACAAAGATTAAGCCTCATGTCCAGCAATACTTAGGTAGTGGCAAAAATTACTTTTCTAGGTTTTGGAGGTTGGTGATGACCCTACACTCAAGTTTGGCATTACATGGATTTGGTATTATTGAATATTGACAGCAGAGATTGCAGATGGGCCCCTGGAAAATGCTGTTTTCCAAAGGCTTTTTCTTTCTTGTATGGTCCAGAAACATTTAATAAACTGAAAAAAATGTTTATCAAGTTTCATACAAACTTCAAATGGTCCTCCAAAACCATGGAAAATGAGCTTAAAAAAAAAAAATTGTTTCTTGTTATCCTGTATTGTTGTTTATTCTTAGAGAATAAAATTGAAGCTGAATTATCATAATAATAGCCTTTGATATGAAATCCATAGTTTTAAAATTAGAAATAAAATTTCTTAACCAAATAGTCTATGTCGTTACTTCAAAGTATGCAAAAGCAACAATAGTTTTTTTAGTACTTTGTCACGATACAGTTCTTTTAACAAAAAAAAAATCATATCATGAAGTAGATTTTTTTGTGCATGTACAACAAACAAAATCTAAATCTAAAAAACAAACCATCTCAAAATAATTAATATGTTTGTAAATCAGTTTATAATCATTGGTTCTTTGTAGATACCCTGTGACTTTTTTAGCAGATTTTCAGTTTTTCATTCCAAGATTACTTTGGAACCTTCCCAGCATTTACTGTTGTAGATGCATAGAAAATGTTACTCATCGCTCTTTTTCTAATATATTTTGTGGATATTGATTCGATTGAATCTATCTTTTTTTATAATGAGTACTATTAAAGATGCACAATTTAACATTCTAAATCTTTCCAAAACTTCTTTTAATGTAGGTTTTTTTAGACAATTCTATTTTCTTTGAGAGAATCAATTAGATAATACCGAAAAACAACCGATTCAAGAGCAATTAGTTTTTGATGAGATAAACCCAAACGACGAAGTTGAATTAAAAAGATTCTTAAAAGTAAGGAAATTAATAATTTCTAATAATTATGTTATATGCCTTTAAGAGTCCGACTTTAATATTTAACCTAAAGATGAACCAAATTTGTTTTCACAAGTCATGAATGAAGAAAAATTTGCTTTACAGTATAATGTCTAAAAGGAAAAAAATAAAATTTAAGTCTAAAAATCAAGTTTGTAACTTAGTCGAATTACTAAAAGGATCTATAGTCATTGGATGCAAATGAATTTATAAAATAAAATAGACTCTTTTGCTAATTTCGAGCTATATAAATCTAGACTTGTAGCTATGGGTTATATCCAAAAAAGGCATAGATGATCATAAAACTTCCTCTTTGATCTTTAAGAAGGATTCATTCAAAATTATAATGGTAATGATAATTCATTTTGATTTAGAGCTACATGAGATGGATGTGAAAATATCATTTTTAAATAGAAATTTGGATGAAGTATACATGAATCAACCTAAAAGTTTTATGATGACACAAATAGCCATTTAATTCGTAAACTAAATGAAACTATGTATGGGCTAAAACAAGCATTTTAATAGTGATATATTAAGTTTCTCAATGTTATTATCTTATATGATTTTATTGAGAACATTGTTCATCAATGTATATACATTAAAACTAGTAGAAGTAAATACTTTTTTTTGTTCTGTGTATAGATAATATTTTTTTTACAAGTAGCAACTTAGGTTTGTTATATAAGATAAATCAATTTCTTTCTTAGAACTTTATTAGATGAAACAACTCATGTCATTAGCATAGAGATGCGACAAGGAACTTGAAAAACACAATCAGGTCCTAAAAAAAATTTTTATTGTTATTTTAGAAAACTCATATCATAGTTCTTTATTGATTTCCTCTCATATCTGGACCTTATAATCTTTTTTTATTGAGATTTTTTTTTTTTTAATTTGATTATGACTTTTATTCTTCAAGATTTCTTATTTAATACTGGCTCTTATATAATGTCATAACTACTTTTAACATATGTTTATACTTTTGTTCTCTTATAAACAATGCAATTTAACTTCTACTTATGTTTATGAATGCTAGTGCATATGCTAATGAATGCAATCAATATAAAAATAGGTAGCACGACCAAATTCTACATTTGATAAGGCGTTTAAATACCTTTTTATTAACCGATTTGATAATTATATCATTTGAAATTCATTTAAATTATAATTCATTTTTAATCTATTATAAATTTTCGAACGAACCTTCAACAAAAAAATCTTAAATATTGAAGACAATGAACTAAATAAAACTACAAATTTTAAATTATATAGATTTAAATCCAAATTTATTTAGACTATGGAAAACTTCAAATCTGAAAATTAGATAAAAAAATATTAAGAAAAACAATAAAGAAGAAAAAAATAAAAGCAAGATTAAGGGGCTATCCTCGATGATTCGACGATAGCCTAAAATATTAATAAAAAGGTGTTTATACTTCATATAGGGGAGTAAGAGAAAAAGAGAGAGCGTCTAGGGTTTGGTACTTTGTTTCTCGTCTGTAGACGATCTTAAAAACGCATCATTTCTCTAAAATCTTTTAAAACCATGGTTATTACATCAATTCAGACACATTTACATAAATTTACTGGGTGTTCCGACCTGCATTTAACTGGTATTCGAGGCGTTGTTTTCATAGGTTTATGTCCTTTATCATTATTTTCGTTAATATAAAACGTTTAGCCTTAACAACCATCCTTAACGCATGCTAATCTCTCACTATCTACACCACCTCAAACTCTGCACCAAACACCAAATCCCATTAGCTGCCAAAAACATCCACGCCCAGATCGTTAAAAGTGGCCTAAACCAATGCCAACCCTTATCCAACACGCTCTTACTTGTGTATGGCAAGTGTGGTGTACTTCAAGATGCACATTACCTGTTCGACGAAATGCCTCAAAGAGACCATGTCTCTTGGGCCTCTATTCTCACTGCATACAATCAAGCAAACCTCCCCAACAAGACTCTATCTATTTTCCCTTTAATGTGCACTATCGATGGGCTTCAGCCTGACCATTTTGTGTATGCTACTCTCCTTAATGCGTGCGCTAGTTTATGCACTTTAAGGCTAGGCAAACAAGTGCATGCTCGCTTTGTTTTATCGCCCTTTGTTGATGATGATGTTGTTAAATCGTCTTTGGTTGACATGTATGCAAAATGTGGATTGCCCAATATTGCTCGTAGCGTATTTGATTCGATTTTAGTGAAAACTTCAGTTTCTTGGACTGCAATGTTATCTGGGTATGCTAGAAGTGGGTTAAAAGACAAGGCTATGGAGTTGTTTTTTAGGGCTCCAGTAAGGAATTTGTATGCTTGGACTGCTTTGATATCTGGATTGGTGCAGAGTGGAAATGGCGTTGATGGTTGTTATCTGTTTATTGAAATGAGAAGAGAAGGGTTGGCTATTGCAGACCCACTAGTCTTTTCAAGTGTGGTTGGTGCTTCTGCTAATTTAGCAGTTTTGGAACTTGGAAAGCAAATTCATGCCCTAGTTATTAGTTCTGGCTACGAGTCTTGCTTGTTTATAAGCAATGCACTTGTGGACATGTACGCAAAATGTAGTGATATTTTAGCAGCCAAGAATGTTTTTCATAGAATGCTTCATAGAGATGTTGTTTCTTGGACTTCTATTATAGTTGGGGCAGCTCAGCACGGAAGAGCCGAGGAAGCATTGGATTTATATGATCGAATGGTTTTAGCTGGAGTAAAACCAAATGAAGTGACCTTTGTTGGATTGATCTATGCTTGCAGCCATGCTGGGTTAGTTAGCAAGGGCCGAGAACTTTTTAAGTCCATGATTGAGGATTATAGGATTAATCCCTCCTTGCAGCACTTTACATGCTTGTTGGACCTTCTTAGTCGATCTGGGCACCTCAAGGAGGCTGAGGATCTGATTAATACAATGCCATTTAAGCCTGATGAACCTACATGGGCAGCTTTATTGAGCGCTTGCAAGCACCATGGAAATACTGAAATGGGACTGAGGATTGCTGATCGTATTTTGAGCTTGAATCTGCAAGACCCTTCAACCTACATACTGTTATCTAATGTGTATGCAGGTGCTGGTAAGTGGGAACAGATGTCAAGAGTTAGAAAGTTGATGACAGTTATGGAAGTTAAGAAGGAACCTGGCTATAGTTCCATTGTCCTTGGAAAGGAAAGCCAAGTATTTCACGCTGGGGAAACA